CAGAAATTGAAACACCACATTCGATAATTTAATTATAAAAATGCGAAATATATGATTCTACAAAGCTAAAAAAAAAATTAAACAAACGCAATGAGGCTCACAACCAGAAAGATTTGGGTGAATTGCTATCACGTACACACTACATATATGATAAGGCAAAAAATATGTAGCGAACATAACGGAGGCTAAAACCAAGAAAATCAGATAAATTTTAGCAAAACCGAAGAGCAAATTAAGTTTATGTATAAAATTCATTATGGTACATCACACGATACTATGAATAAAGATCTTTTACGTTTCATTTTCACTACATAGAAATCAAAGTCCCTGGAGGTTTACCTGGTTTTAGCTCGGAACATGCGAACAAATTTAAGTATTGTTCCCACTTTTAAATTTTTTTTTCTTTTTTTTGATTGCATTCTCCGGCCATTGTGAATTTATAATAAGTATATAAGTCTTCAGCTAACTCAAAAAAGCATAATAACGGTCAGTTGTTACACTTTCGTCTGTGCTTAATAAGGCCTATGTCGATCTTTTCACAATGCCAGCAGGCTCTAGATTTTAATGTACATCCTTGTAAGACTAGTACTAAAGTGAATTGGCGTTACAGTTCACAAGAATTCTTATAGGAAGGACATATTCTCCCGGCTCGTTTCTCGTAAGCATTTTAAAGGTACACCTGCTCCTGAAGGGGGAGAACTAAAAAATGTTTTATTAAACAAATCGAAATCTTTATTATGGCTGCGATTTTGTCAATGGTTTTCTAGCTCCCCATATCCTTTTGTAGTCAGATAAACGAAGTACTTTTTCAGTTGAAGGTATCCTGCTTCCACTCATAATGGAAAAATAAGCCGGTCGACTATGTCGTTCAGGCAATAAAACTTGATAATCACTGTCGTCCAACGCTCCAATAAGTATAAAATTAATCAGTGAGTGCCAATATTTCTGTTTAGCCAGCTTCCGGAATTTCCTAGTTTGTGTGGAGTGCGATCACTTCGAGAATATTTGTGTTACAAATTTCAATAAAGATCCTTTCCCTTTCAGACTACTGCCTACTCCATCCAACAATAAGTTACCGCAATGTGTTTTGAAAGGTCCGTCGCGAATGTCGCGAAAATTTCGGACACATTTACTTCATACCAGTCTTTGCGGTAAATACATAAAGTTCACTAATATTTAATACAACAGGCTAAGCAATGTTACGAAACCTTCAGTGTCGCTGAATCACCTGCGTTCCGTTTTCAACTGCTTGGTTTTCGGTCTCACTCTCGTTTTCGCTACTTAAAGCACCCGTCAATTTCGAACTCTCACTGTTTGAAATATCTAATAAGCTTAACTTTTTAATATACGAGCACAAGCTATATGACTATAATGATAATGGATTTTAAACCCAAAACACCGCGCAGATTTATCTTAACTTTATAAAGCAGCTGACCTTATTGATGTGGCAGGTTGTGCCAAGTATACAAATTTGTAGTAAATAAAAGCCCCTAGCGGATCAGAAAATGTTACTTTTTAAATGTACGGACAACTACTTGCAGTCGACTTACCGAGAACCGCAAACCTCATTAATAACTATAAAGTATAAACTTTGAAACCACTCTGGATGTTCTTAAATTATTTGGCGTAAACGTATATCCGTTACTTTTTTATATCTATCCATGGCCCCCAAGTCATGGTCTTTGTGATGACCTATATATGTGGTAAACTACGTTGTGTCTGTAAAAGTTTTAAAGGCTATTTATAACCCGAGGAATGTTTTTTTACTCTGTTTGCGACTAAAGGATATTTTTTTAAGAGGAACGCGTAATGCCTTAGTAAAGGATTGCAGGTTCAATTGTACAGCTACTACCTTTTGGTCTTAGTATACAAGTATATATACCCTCTTAGTGTGCCTTGCTAAATTTATTATATTTAGAAACAGCCTACTTTATAACACCTTTACATCTCTTCCATAGAAATAGTAGCTGGAGAGAATTTGTTAAAAGACTATAATCTATTAATTGCCTTACGTTAGCATTTGCCTATTTATGTTATCTTTAACTTTTTTTTAATAGTAGGTTAGTAGTTTGTCTTTGCTAGTTTCCTACTAAATAAAAGTTTCTATGTCAAGAAGTTACTTTATGATATATTGGTTAAAGTGTATTATTTAATTTGTTATAAAGATTGATTTGTGTTAGCTAAATCTTTTAAAATAAAATTGAAAGAAAGCATCAATGGTACCCTTTGGAAAAGCTATAAATTTATAGTAGCCTCCTAAGAATTTCAATCTGTGGACTCTCTCGTTTTGTCAAGTTGGCTTTAATAATATATCTACCTGTCAAGAAAAGAAGATTCTTGGTTATCATCTATTATTTAAATAAATAGCTTGATAGTTCCATATATATATATATATTTATATATGAAGAGAATATTATACAAAATTATAGGTATTAAAGACTAGCTGAATACAGTGCTTTCAATTTCCATTAACTTTTTATAATATCTAATTACAAAATAATTTTATAATGCAGCACCCACTCCTTAGCAATAGTTAATATATAACGGTTGCTGTTTTTAAGTATCCCCAAGGTACAATGGGGACGAGATTAAGAGCAATACCGAAATGTACCACTTGGTACTTTATAAAGAAGACCATACATTCTAACGCAATAACCTTTTCCTGTAATATTATAAAAAAGGTCACCCCTTTTGTACAGTCTTTATCCTCAGAAAGTTCTACTTGAACAGCATATAATAATTCTCCTTTAAAACCCGTGTTTTTTAGATCTTTAAGTATAGATGTTTATCTAAAACGCTTACGCATTCAGACTTACTGTACACGTAGAAGACCCATATACGCATAATTTAGTATAGGAGATAACTTTATTCAAGGCAAGCTGAAAACATAATGTCTTATCTCGAAAAGTTGATTATTTTTCTTTAAAGGGGTGTTCTACTTACAGAGATTGAAACTGACATTATTCCACGAATCCTTTCGTATATTTTATATCTATTGCAAGTTTGCAACACTTAAAAAATTTATATAAAATACCAAATTAAACAATAATTTCCGTTTTAACTCAATATTTTTAATTTTGTGGACATGAACATATGCCTCAGATATATGATTGAAACTATTTATTTAATTTGTAAAATCAACCATTATAAAAAGGCCAACTTCGCTCCACTTTTTGGGATCTTCTCTGAGTACGTTAAACTATTTTGTAAACTTAGTTTACTATTTATTAGTATTTAGGTTCCCTGCAAAAGAAGAAGTGGCACCAGTTTGTAATACTTCTGCAAGCTAATGGCGCCGAGATTAAAGCCCAAGGACTCGTCAAGGTATCAAGGTTACCCGAAAACAAAAGATGAATAGCACGTTATCACCTTGCTTATGTGTGATGCTCGCTACCAACTTTTACCTTTCAACTACCAGAGGGTACGCCTTTATAACCAGTCCTTTCGCGGAAACTATATAGCTATCTCGACACCTTAGCCCTCAAAGGAAACTTGCGCACACTTGCGGATAGCTCTCGGCAAGAACGCTAACGGAAGACATTGTTGAAGTGAACGGGCGAAAGGACTTTTACCAATAGTCGACTGTTGCATATATCGATCGTGAGCGACTAAAGTTGTTGGAACTGTGGACTAATTTTTTTTAAAGTTAAAGTGGAGAGACTACAAAAGAAAAACACCGCGACGCTTAGTGTTACTACTGCTAGACCCTGGAGCCCAGTTGCAGTTTGTTTTTTGAGCCTTCCGATGGGTAAAATGCGGTGAGAGCCCTTTGACTGCGCAATCCACCTAAGCAGGAGTAAGTGCTGCCAGTTGCGCAAATTGTGATGTATATAAGCCCTCGTCTTCTAACGTTACACCGGTGATCTCGTACGGGTGCGTTTTTTGCTTAGTTACAATAAAACTCTCCAGCAATAGCAATAACGACATCGGTAGTAGTTCAACAATGCTTAACACAGTTAAGAGGTCGCAACCGCTTGCATTGGTTTTTGACATCAGACCACTTACCATATACGGCTCCTGTTCTAAAACGCAGTTGCTTTTGACGCAAGTAACATGAGTAGCAGGGGTTAATACAGTGCAAAAGAAGCAATTTGAGGGTTATTAGAGACACTTATTTTTTTCCTAGCGCCTCATTCAAGTTCTGCAACTTCTCTACGTACCACTAAGAGCGCTTCGACAGGGCGATGGAGGCGCAGCTGTCCTGGCCAGACGAAACAACCAATTAAGTGTGATGATTCTGCCAGTCTAGCATTAGATTCTCCTCTGCTTGATCTGGTAAGGCCCGTGCCAACTTTGAAACTTATGGACCCCTTAACAAGACCGTCTGCTTGAAACCACCGTGTCAACCACCCAAACGGACAAATTCTCGATACTTAAACCGATGAGCGCGGACTGCACACAGGATATATACGTACCTAACGCACATGATGGTGACGAGAACACCAGTTGTACTAGTTATCGGTTTTTAAAATTTTAAAGACAGTAAGGTTCTTTACGAGCTCTCGTTGGGGCCCTCTGCCCGATCTGCTTGAGCTGAACGACAAAATAAAATTTATCAAGAACAATAATTGTAGCTTTTAAAAACTGGATATAACCCTTCCAGGTTTTTGATACGACCTTTTCCATATTTTCGGCTATACCAAGGATGCCCGACCGACCCGACGAAACGTAAAGTCGAGTGCCGAGCTAACCGCCTACTTGTTTAACTGAAGGCCTTTATCTGCGAAAGTCGGTGTTTTTATTGGGTGTCCCAGGGCCTCCCGCCCCGAAAACGCATATGAGCGCTAGCCTGCTGTTTTGCGAAAGACAAACCACAAGGATGTTGTGGAAGAGATAAAGCAGACAGAGCGATACTACGCTGTTCAGTATACGTGATTCGTAAGATAACCACTCTCCCCTTATATTTTTTTCATCATGAATTTAGTAGATTGCACAATAAAAAAAGAATATAAGGAAAATTTAAATTTTATAATAAATCATATAAACACGATTAATTTTACGGACGCTATAGAATACTTCCATTTTAGCAACTCCAATTTCTCGTTGGATAAGACCTTTTGATGAAAACTTTTTCAGTCGGACTAAAAAAAAAAAGAAAATCAGATTTACGAGAATATAAATTCGTAATTATCTTAAATTATTACAGACATTAATTTAAATTTTTTAATACACGAAAAATAATAATTGAATATAATAAATTAAAAAAAATTTAATTTTTGTATGACAGCTTAAAAAATATATTAGGTCACTTGTATTTTGGCGTAAAAAAGTATAAGAAAATTAAAATTTTAATAAAATGTTGTATCAACGTAAATTTTTTATTATACATTTACAAAATCTTTAAGTACAGATAAAAAGGAAAGCTATAGAAACAATCTGAGTTTCTTGATTTATAGTATAAGAAAGATTTGATATAAATCAATAAAGTCTCATTACTAAAAGACTATAAATCTTTAGAAAACTTATCAAAAAGTCTTAAATTTTTATAAGTAAATCTTCAGGCAATAGTAAGTTTGTAGATAATAATAAAAAAGTTAATTTAACTTTTTCTAAAACCTAATTTTTATAATATAATTTTTAAGAAAAGAAAACAATCCTTCTAAATGTCTGCCAGGTCGAAGCAACAGCCAAGCGAGGGCAAAAAAGGAGAAAAAACCCTCGGGCTATATATACACCACATAATTCAATTTTGAAATCATGTGGTTAAATTCCAGGTGCAAATTTATTATAAACCATAAGTATCAATTATATTTTTATAGAATCTAAATCCAAATAAATTGATTAAGAACTTTAGCAAGATATAATTAATAAAAAATTAACTTTTAAGGAATGTTCGCGAATATTTTTTTAATGAGGCCTGAAGTTTGATTGTGTTATATAACTGTTTATATGTAATTTGACTGAGAAAAATAAATTAAAATTGTTTGGGGACTTTCCTAAGAAAGTCACATGATTTTTTTTAAATACTATTTTTTTTACTGTATTGAGGTCAGGAGTTTGACAAGAGAATATACTTATAAAAGTAAATAATTTCAAAACTGAATAGAATTATTATATATTGTGAAACAGCATCAACTATTAATGTAAAAAATATAAATAAAAATTATTTATAAACAAAAAATCTAAAAAAATCTAGTTTTTAAATAAATTTATAAACTTATTAAAATCCAGTTAAATGATTAAATTAATTTAAATAACAACTTAATATTATTTATTATAATTCATAATTTCCTTCAAAAAAGTCACTCTATTTTTTTAAATAAGGATATGAAAGAATAATTAATTACTAAAAGTTTTTTCATATTGTGTAAAGTATAGATTTTCAACGTTTATATTATTATAAATTATAAAGACAAAAACACCAAAAAAAAAGAATTTTTTTTAAGTAAAAGAATAATGATAATGCTTTTTATAAATAAATAATAGTTATATGTATAGAGATAAAAAAATGTATTAAAAGTTATTTTTTTAAAATACCAGTTAAGTTTAAGTTTAACTATAGGTTTAATATAAGCCAAATAAAAAAAAATTTACATAACAGTATAAATATTATATTAACAAAAGTATAATAAATTATTTACACTAAAAAAAAGAGCTTTAAAATATATTTTTTAAATTCCTAACTAAAATTGATAAGTAAATTTTTTATTAAAAAAAAGAAATTACTATTTCTACAATTAACAATTTAATTTTGTATAGCTATCAATTTAAGGAAAAAACAAAAAAAAATATACTTAAAATTTTATTTTTAAGATAAAAATTATAAAATTTAAATGCACTAAAGAAAAAGGGCTTTAAAAAACATTTAATTTCTAGCAATAACGATTAAATTTCTATTTAACAATAAAGTTACTGAGAACAAAAAAATCAAAATGTACTTAACTATTAATTTTAAGGTTATAATTGTATAATAGTTTAAGAACACTGAAAAGAAAGCGCTTTTAAAGAATAATTTTTTATTAAATAAGTACACAAAAATATCTAAGTTTTAGGATTTTAATAAAAAAATTAACAATAAAATTTCTTAAGAATTTTTTTTCTTTCCAATAAAATTAAAATTTAAAGTTTTAATGAAGCTAAAATGTAGCTTAAAACTATAAGTTTTACTAAAGCATTTAAATAAAAAGGTTAAAAAAATTTATAAATAAAAATAAATCTCGATTATTGGTAATATAGTTAATAAGTTTAATGAGTTCCAATTTCATATATTTAAAAATAAATTTTTATTTTTCTTTTCAATTCATTTAAATATTTTATTTTTAATAAAAAGAAAATAAAAATTTATAAGTAACCGGTCATTAGCGTCAGTGACAACGTTTCCTAAACGCTTCACTACCGATAACCCGTCGCAAATTCTTCCAAAGATGGTGTGTTTATCTTCAAAATAAGTTTCATAGTTATAATTTCAATAGAATTTTAATCAAAAAATAACTAAATCAGTTAAGAAAAAAACTTTATGACTTTTTTTTACTGTGGAAAATATAAATTAAATTAAAATTTATATTAATATTAAGTTATAACTAACTATAGTGAACAACAAATATAATTAAAAAAAAACTTTAATATAAATTTATAATAAACCGAACTTTATAATGATGTGATAATTACGCTACTGTATAAAATTTATTATAATTTATACAAATTTAAAATTTTATATAATAAAAATTAACTTTACAGAAAAAATGTAATAATTTAACAGATAAAATGCTTAGTTATTTATTTAAGATAAAATATATTATAAAAAGCTGTAAATGACTATAAATAACTTTAAAAATTTATAAAAACTGTTACAGCTCGCGAATTAATTTGTTTCGGTCAAATTGCCCAGATAATATAAATTATTTATAAAAAATTTTAAAGTTTTAGAACTTAATTGTGAAAAAAAAAATAGAGTAATAGTTATTTAAAAATTTCATATCTTTTTAACTAATTATACTCAACAATCAAAAGTTAAAATTAATAACCATCTAAGTGAGGAGTTGGTGCTAATGTTATAAAAAATTGAGATCCATTAGTATTTGGACCTTTAAAAAAATTCAAAATTTAACCGATTCAAAAAAGATATATAAATAAAAAAATGCCTGAGTTGGCCATCGAGAGAATGCCAGCGCCAGTGTGCCTTAACGAACTTGTGCATTCATCTTCAAATTTTTCTCTTTATGTTATATAAAAGTAATTAATCTAATTGATTAGAATTATAAAGCACCACCCATAAATCGAGTCGCCACCACGACCAGTTCCAGTGGGATCACCACCTTGTATAACAAAATTCTATGTTAAGTTGTTTGGTTATTTTAAATATTAAAGAAAATCTTGAATAATATTATTTAAAGTTGGTTTAAATATAAAAAAAATATATATTCACTTACTGGTATGATGCGATGAAAAATAACATTGTCGTAATATTTTCTTCTTGACTGAGCAAAAATTAAAAAAAAAGTGAATTCAGAGAAAACCTTAGTTACTATTATTTACCAATTCAACAAAATTTTTACAAGTCTTTGGTGTTTCTTTCCAGTAAAGTTCACAAACGATAACCCCCTTTTGAAAATGGAACAAGAATAATATTTTTTAAGTTTAGTAAAAGTCAAACCATGGAAGTTTCTAGAACCACGAAGGGTTCCTCTGAGTACTCCATACTAAAGTAGTCCGGCGTTTTTGAGAGTGTTACGGCTTGCGCTAGTAAATATTTTTTAACGCTTGCACATGAACCAACTTTCTCTCTTTTTCTTATATTAACTATTTTATATGCAGTATTATATAGAATAAAGCAAAAAATGGTCTAATATGACTTAACAATTTTTAGGTTTCAAGTAAGTTGCTCATAACATTTTAAAAAGAAACCAGATATTATATTAAAATACTTCACTTCTTAGAGTTGATCTTAGTATTTAAAAGCCTGTTGAAATAAAATACTTACTACTACTACTCGAGACCTACCACTTGTATATGTGAATAAATTTATATAAAGACTACGAGAAACTTCTTTTCATGAATGCAGTTACCTTCTTCACTTAACATTTCGACGGCCTGCTTGTAACTCTAGCATTTGCTATTTTGTACGCTATTAAAAACGCACTCTTCTATTGTAAAGGTTAAAACATCAAAATTCTTTCTAAAAAAATCGATTTACCAATCTAATATTTGAGCTACAAGTAAATAAATAAAAAAATAAAACATCATACCAGAATGGGAAAAGAGGAAAAAAAAACCATATTGAAGTTATCCTTTAAGCTTTATAAGCTTATATAACATATTTCTTTGCTTTTTAATATTATATATAGTCTTTTTCTTTTCAACATGACGCTATAAGTCTATAGTTATTTAAGTATATTGAAAAGTGACTTTTATTTACGCAAGAAGTACAGTAGCCAAACCGCTACTTCAAATTGATTAACACAACCGTGTAGGGCTCCTCAAAAAGTATTCTTATTTAGTAACATGTCTTTTCAAAAAAAAAAATTTAAAGTTTAATTTTTTTGTTTCTTCCTATATTTTGATGTTCCTCGTTACATTATAGTAGCTGTAAATATATTTTTAACCTTCTTACTTCATGTATTATATATATACTTGCGTAAGTTTCGCAATTTTTCATTGAGTATAATTGTATTAACAAAATTGGAAATATTTATAGTCTGGCAATATCTATGATTTCACAGTAGACAAATCAGAAGAGGAGGTATTCATAAGTAAATTAATACATAACTGAAAACTTTGTTTAGCCTATGAGTTTCCACAATGTCAAAGTTAAAAATTGAATACTGTAATAGGTACAGTCTTAAAACTATGTATAAAAATAATGCACAAGTAAGCAGTTCAGGTTTTTCTTGAAATTATATATATTATGCAGAAAATTCAAAAAAGTAATGTATGAAGTTATATTTAAGTTGGCCGAAGTTTAAAATTTTGCTTTAGTGGGTTAATAAGAAAATAGCTTTTAATTTTATTCCTTTACCTTATTCAATCTTTAGTTGAAGTTTTTCTGTGGTGAACTTTTTAATAATTACATTGTTATCACCAAACTATAAGGGTGACTTAAGGCATACAAATTCTTCTCAAAAAAAAAATAATTTTTTTGTATGATTTTTGTAATATAAATAATATAATTTCCTGATATAACAATGTTGTTTTATATATGCTCCCCTCTCTAACATCTTACAGTAGTAACTTGAAAGAATTTTGTTTACATTCTTCACCGCAATTGGCGATAAAAAATGTTAAGCAGCTAACTTTGAGGTTTGTAAAGCTAAGGTAATTTCCTAAAGTTAAAGTGGGATAAGGAAATCTTAGGATGGCTAGCGTGTTCTACATTATTTTGCTTCCTACAATTAAAATTTAAAATGTACGGAAATAAAACTTTACAATACATTATCACCACCTTTTGAACAATTTAGTTCGAGATTTACGACAAAAACTGAGAGAGAATTACTGCTAGTTTTATGCAGGTAACCTACAACTGTATATTTATACACTTGTCGATATTAATTTTCAATAAAGTTCGATTTATAGCTTAGTTTGCTACTTGTCAATTTCAACATTGTGCAAAAAGTTCTGCTTTTTTTTTTCCTACTATAGTAACCACCAGCAGTTTTCCCTAGAAAAAGATGCCTGAGTTCTATAACCGGCTTTTCTTTAATTGTCAACCGTAATTTTTACGGTTTAACATTACAAGAAAAGCCAAATTTATATACAGTTTATATAAAAGTAATAAAATTTGCGACAAATCTCATAAGCTACATTATTCACTTATAACGTAGTAAAAATTGACATAGAGGAGAGTTTTTACAAAAAACGCACTTAGAGGTAATATTTCACTCGGCATAACCAGGAAAACCTTCTTTGGAGCCTTTTTATTATCTGTGGCCCTATATATCGTATATAGTAAAATATTGCCTAAAAGACGCGTATTCTGCCGTTTAATATAGGACTTAAACTAACTTTTTATCCAAAGTTAGTTTTGCGTCTATAATTTGCTTGTTAAAAGTTTTGGAAAATACAAAAAATTATGGTTATTATTTAAAAAATTTTATATTCAAACCGAATATAAGAATTTATAACTTATGTACATTAGTTAAAGGAGATCCGCTTTTTAAAACTGCTCTCTACAAAAATTTATATTTAAACAAATTATATACTTTTATTTAGTTTTTATAGGAAATGCTGTCTGAGACTTCAGTATCAAGTGAGAGTTCAAGTAGCACTCACCAATTTCTATTGCACAGCTATTTTAAACTTGCTTATTGTGGTGTTTGCTCGAAAGCGTTGGTACTTTTTTTTATTTAAGAATTTCTGCTTAATCTTCCAAAAATATGCTTATTTTATATTCAAGTGGGGAATTTCTAAGCAAGGCTTGAAGTGTCAAGGTTTTTTATATTCTTTTTTAATGCTTTTCACTACTTTGTTCAAATATCTATTTTCTTTAAGTTTGTGGACTTGATGTTCACGAAAGTTGCCAGCAGTCCGCTCCAGAGTGTTTGGGTTTGGACACGATTGTTTGTTCTTTTTCAGAAACCGATGATGGTATGTTTTATTAGAAATTTTATAGATTTTATCAATAAGTGTGCTTTCTTTTTAGATCTTGATGAAGTTGAAATAAAATTTACGCTTGTCCGTGGAAACAATCTCGCTAAAAAGTATCCTTTGCATACACCTGATCCATTTGCAGAAATCATTATCAATGATGAATGTTACTGGTCTACCATTCAGAAGCGTACATTTAATCCTACTTGGAATTTTGAAATTAATCTGTAAATTTTTTAGTTTATTATATTTTGTTTTTTTCATAATTGCAAATTTGTACTATTGACTAGTTATCTTTTATTTTCAACTCTAATTAAATAAAAAGTATATTTTTATGCTCTTTATAAATTATAAAACGTTGATTTTTATTTCGTCGTGTTGTGTTTAGCCATTTATAGGGAATATTTATATTTGATTTTACTTAATAAATTTCTTATAAACTATAATTTATACATATTACTATAACTTAGTTGAAATATATATAAATAACACTAATTTAAAACAAATTAATTCCCTTTTACTTAAACGAAATTTTCTTAAAATTATCTACAGTAATAAAGATAAAATTAATAAATTGAGAGCCAAATTTTCGGTCTAATTTTCTTTTACTGTAATATATTTTTTTTAAAGTAGCTCTTGCCTCCAAGAATTCTCTTATTTTTAATGAATTAATTTTTAGTCATTTTAAAATCTTTCTTCAACTTCTAAATTTCAGAAAATCTTACTTTTTCTGTAAATTAATTCACTCTAGACAAAAACTTTATACTAACTTTACAAGATTGCACTATAAAATCTACTAAATTTCTTTGAGCTTTTGAACCTTTAATTTTTATAATAGTAATAATATTAAAAGTTAAACTCTATAACCTCAATAATAATAATATTAATAATTAATAAAAAATTAAACAAATATTCTATGCGATTATAATTTTAACACATTGTACTGTTTTAATTTTTATTTTGTCACCTAATTACTAAAATGGTTATTAATTTGCTATTTTGTTATCTAATTTGGTAGATATAATTTAGAATTTACTAAAAAGGTAAGCACTTTATTAAGTGATTTTTTCTCCAAAAGGGTATAAATTTACATTAAATATAATGCAGAAAAAAATTAACCAATCAAATTGTATTAACTTTTGTGGGTTTTTATATGAATTTTACTGATTGTAGTTGTGTTTTTCTACATTTTTTATTCGTTTATTTTTTAAAAAAACTTTCATAACATTTATTTATATATATATAAAAAATTATAAATAAAACTCTTTTTTAAAATATTGTTTTATTAATTTTTTCGTTATTACTAATTATCAATTTGTGAATAATATCAATAATAAAAGCTTTTATAATACTTATTCTGTTAATTATAATAATAAATTTTCTTTTTCTATATAATAAATTTATTAATAATTATATGAAACTATTAAATATTTTTTTATTATTATTATTTTTTAGAACAGTGAAGTTGAATTCTCATATAAAAATTTTTGTTTATGATAATAAACGTTTTAAGCCGAAGCAACATGGCGGTATGTTTTTTTTTTGTTTTACTTTATAAAAAGGAAGGCTTTTTTTGTTTTTATTTTTTACTTTATAATAATAAAAAATAAAAGTGTATCTTTTATTCAGATTCTTAATAAATATGGAAAAGTAATTTTTTAGTGAAAAATAAAATGTAAATTTTTATTTAATTTTTTATGGATCCCAAAAAAGTAAATCTTCATTTAATTATTGTTATTAGCAATTAAAATTTAGACTATAATATTATTATTGTATTTTAATACTTTTTTTTATAATAATAATAAAGGAAAGGGAAGCCATTTATTAATTTCTTCATTATTATTAGTTAGCAAATTACTTTTTTATTATTAATAGTAGTGAAAAGTAAATATTGAAACATATAATTATATTTTTCATTAATGATTAGTAAATAAAAATAAAACTTTTTTAATATATATTATAAAGTAATTCTTCATATTTAGTATTATTAAAACTGAAAAGGATAAAACTTCTTTTATTATTATTAATAATAAAAAGTAAAAAATTGTTTCTTAAAATATTTTATTAATTATCACTAAAAGTAAATATTTATTATTAAAAGTAATCAAAAATAAAAAGTAAAAACATTTTATTGATATTTTTCATACTATAAAATATCTCTATTTTTTTATTGAAGATTATAAATAATAAAAAGTATAACTTTTTTTTATTAAAATATAAGTTATAAAAAAGTAAACCTCCATTTTCTATTTATAATAATAAAAAGTAAAAAAAGTAAAACTTTTTATTAATATTAAAATATAAATTTTGAGGAAGTTTTGTTATAATATTCAAAAATATATATACACTTTTTATAAGTAAATCTTTTTGTTTAATTTATAATATTGAAAAATAAAAGTTAAAATTTTCTTATTCATATTTTTTGTAAGTACTAAAAAGTAATTTTGCAATTATAAATAAAATAGTAGCTTTTCAATATTATTATTTATTGTAATAAAAATAAAAATAAAAAAACAATTTTTTTAAAATGATGAAAACTTAAAAAATAAAATTTTTTTAAAAGTAAATTACCACAATGAAAAATTTTTTCTGTAGAAAATAAGTATTATAATAACTTTTTTATTATTTTTAAATTTATATCTTCTTAAAATATTTTCTTAACTGAATGCTATCAATAAGCGTTTATAAAAAATATTAACAATTTATATTGTTAATTATATTAATATATTAATTTTAATCATTTTAATTATATAAAACATAAAAATAATTATAACAAGTAAAGTAACTGAAAAAATTTTCAACTTTTATATATTATTTTTAAGAAAAGTTTAACTTTTTATTTATTTTTTTAATATTTAAAGGTATTTACTTTCTATTAAAGATAGAAATTTATAGTAAAGAGAACGAGTTTGATGTATTTTTTCAAGTTTTTTTTACTTATAATAATTTTTATTAGAATTATTAAAAATAAATTTTTTTTAATATATAATTATTATGTATATGACTTACTGGTTTGTATGAAAGTTTACGTCACTCTCCGCACATGGCCACATATAGGGATTTAAAAAATATACAGGTTTCAAGCACATGCGAAGCATCAAGAACGAACCGCCTCTAGTCTTTTGTACATGCTCTGGGCGGAGCTTTATTGTTTTTGCCTCTTCCCTTAAAAAGGGAGTCCGCCATACCTAGATAAGGGCGCGGTTCTAGCTTAGTTCTATATAAAGACACATACAGTAGTGTTTTTTTCCCTCCATTGTGTTTAATAATTTGCTGAATGTTCTAAATTTTTTCAATCATCCCAATGGCTAAAGCTTTTGCTATAGTATTCACTTATAAAATGCTTTTCTGGTACTTCTGATTGGCTTTTCAAGGAAGCGGTTAGCCTATCCGCTGTAGCCGTAATGCTCTTCCAATAAAAGAACTCTTTTCGTTTTAAACTTTTCTCTTTTTTTTTCCATTAACACTTTTCAACGAATAGCTGAAAGCGTTTTTTTTTACTAATCGTCATTTGAGCTCTTTGCTAGAAAAAATATTTCAATTTTTTTAATGAATAAAATCGTTTGGTTGACTTCTTACTACTGGTGTCAAGCGAACGCATGACTTTTAACGTGAAAATAAATAATTATCCAATAAAAATTTGTTTTTCGAAAGCCAAGTGACAATATCTTGTTTAACTTCTGCTAATTTTTCAAAAAGTTGACTTATTTTCTGTTTTTCTTTATTTGATGGTTTTCTTATGAAGTTATTATTACTTAAAGATACAATAATATATAAACTTTTTTAGCCTATCATTTACTTTTACTTGTGCTTCTATGATTTATTATGATAGATATTATTTTATTACTTTATTATTATTGATACTAAAAAGGCGGTTTTCTCGGCCTCTGTATAATACATATAAGACGGCTACTTTTAAGGGATTTGGTCGCTGGAGTTACTGAGGAATTACGATTATTAAAAGTAAAATCTTCCGATACTGGTACTTCATAGCAATGAAAATAATGAAATTATAATAATAAATGTTTTTTAAGTTACTGGCAGAGTAACCGTCCTTATTCGACTCGTGAATCCCTCTCGAGACGAGCCAACCCTGGCTGCTTACCTCCAGCAGCTTTACAGTTCTGAAGCTTTAGAAATATCTCGGTTTTGTATTATTATTAGTATTATTATTATCGTTATTATTATTATTTATTAGTAAAGAAGCTTTTGAAAAATTTTCAACTAATTCAGACATGCTTGACATTATTAATGTTTTAAAGGAGTCTCATATGAGGTTTTTTACTTTTTAGTATATAACTTACCAAGTATGAAACTTTATAGTAAATATTTAAAAATAAAAATAAAAAAAAAGTTAAATTTTATTTATAAACGCAAAAAATCCCAACAATCTAAAACAATTATTGTGTACGCCAATAAACAATTAGAAGAATAATTTTTTTTTTAAATTTCCATTTTTATCATAAAAAATTTTGGTCTTATTATTACTTTTAGTGAAACTGGAGACGAAAAAATGAATACCCCGAATTATTATCTTCGAAAGCTTTCCGGTGGCATCAACGCGCTACAACCAGCCACTCGCATCCCTACCACTAACCTTAAGAAAAATGCAGACTCATTGACAAATGAGCTACTCCCCTCCGCCCCGAAAGGCATATCATTGTTACTATTACTACCGTCTCTTATCATATTTTCATTATTTTTATTGTTATTGTCAATATATTGGCAGGTTTGAAGTGTGAAGTTAAGTCAGAAACTTCTATATTAATAACTTGGGATCCCTGCTTTATTTCGGGTGAAGGTTTTGATATTTATCATTATTATTATTTCATTATTATTATTATTATTATTATTATTATTATTATTATTATTATTATTATTATTATTATTATTATTATTATTATTATATTTAGACACTTCAAAGTCAAGCATCTCTGAAAGGTATAAACTCCAGTTGACTGGGAATTTTTTTTATATTATAAATGAATTTTACATTTTTTTAGCCAAGGCGATACATCCTTGAATATTAACCAATCGAATCTTTTGTATGTTCTTGAGAGAGCGCAAGGTTTAACCAATTATAAGGCAATTTCTTAATTTATTACCATTTCATTGGCCTCTAGGATTTAGTTCAAACGATGAGACTGACTTTAATAACCATTCGAAATTTGGTTTTGTTTAAGCCGTTTTTTCTTTTATTTCTACATATTTTTATTAATTTTCATTAAAAATTGTTTATAAAAAATCTTTCATAAACTATTTTTATTATTTAAACTTTTTATTAAACTTTTATAAATTATTATTATCACACTTAGAAACTAACTTTATTATGAAATCGAGACTTTTTATAGTTATTATAAACTTCATAATTTTTCCTTAGAAATTGTTGAGGAGTATTATGGGCCCCATCATGAGCACCTCGCGGTCGCGCTCAAGCCCGATGTATGCTATAAGTTCCGCGTAAAGGCTGAAAATACTTATGGCTCCGGGGTTGTTTCTCTATTATTACTACTACTATTAATATAGCAAGTTTTTTATGTAAAAGTACCCGCTTCATAAAACACTACGCGTTATATTTTTAGTAAAGATTAAAAAGTAATTATACTTTTGACCAATCAACATTGAGTTATGCGCCCACGTGTTGTTTTTGGTAGAAAAAAGTTTTCCTTTACGCAATTTTTTACAGTCATAACCAATGAAAATTGCGTTGTATCATCAACGTCATTCTACTAAAATAACAGGCATTGACACTTTTTCTATTAATAAAAACTAGAAATTTAGTGACTGGTCGGACACAGTTATCCCCGAAGCTGTGGCACCGGAACCCCCAGAAGACGACCATAATACTGTCAGTTTTTTAAAATTTTATTGGTTACGTATTATTTAAAAGTTGATTTCCTACTCGCTTATTGACTGGCTGGCTCTATAAGTATTATAATTGGCCTTCGCCACTTTCCCATGTGTCCCCTTAATTTTTGTAGTTTAGGTTTTTTTATCTTTTTTATTTATAAAATAAAAATACGAAATGTTTTCAAATTTATAAAAATTTGGGTTTTTTAATACTTTATTTTTTAATTATTATAAATAAAAAGAAAAAGATTGTAATTTTTTTATGAAAAACATACTTAAAATATTAAGAATAATAGAAAGCAAACTTTTATATTATTACTATTTTCTATAATCGGAATTTTTTTAAAATTTTTTTTTAAAGATTGCAAGTTTTTTATTTATTAAAGTTTATGTTTTATAATATTTTATACGTTCGTATAAAATTTTTTGTATTTATTATTTTATTATATTTTTCCTAATTTCTTTTTTAAAGTTTATATTATTTATTCTATAAAAGTATAAATGAGAACTTTATTATTTTCTGGTGCTTAATTTTTTTTATATTTGTATATATTATTTATTTTTATTGTATATTTAATAACTTTTTTAGTTTGAGTTTTTTATTTTATTTTATTTTATAAAAGTTTGTCATATATCTCGTAAATGTATAAAAAGTTGGTAGGTTCATCATTATAATTGTATTTACTTATAATATGTTGACTGTTTTTACTTTTTATTATTTTTATTATTTATATTAAGAAAATATTGAAAGAGTTTTCTTGTATAATATTTTTGTTTTATTTCTATAATACTTTTGCATAAAATTATTATTACATTTTATTATTTTATATTATATGTTTATATAAAGATTATATTTTCCATTCTTTTTTCTGTTTATTTTTTTGTATTCCTCTTTTTGAGTTATTTATGATATTCTTTAGTTACTTTTTCAAAGTTTGTTATTATAATTTTTATAAATATATTATTTTTTTTTACTTTTTTATAATATTTTCGTAGTAATATATTTATTAAAAATTTATTATAATATTTATATTTTCATTATTAAACTTTTACTATTTTTTCAAAAGTTACCTTTAGTATTTTTTACCTCCTTTACCACTATTATATATATAGTTTATATCTTACTTTTATTAACTTTTAAAATCTTTTTTTATTATTTTTATTGTGTTTTATAGTATTTCAAAACTTTTGATTATATATTTTTAATATTTTAGAGAAGCTTTTTAATACTTTTTCATACTTTCCATAGCATTTTTTTCATTTTTTTTATATATAACTAGCCCATTAAGGACAGCAGGCCGCACTGTCCTTTTTATATGGCGGGATACTGCCACTCCGGAAAAAAATGCAAGTTCTCACATGGCACAGGGCTTGTTTATTATTACTATTATATTGATTACTACTATTATTATTTATGAATATTCTTATTTTGCAAAAACTTATACAATAATATTGATAAACAACTAAACGTTGAAGTTTTTTATTATAAAAGTTTATATTATAACTATTAATTTTTTATTAAAAAATTTAATCAATATTATAATAATTGTACTTTTATATATTTTTTGACAGCTAATAATAATTTTTTAATGAAATTTTCGTTTTTTACGATAACCAAGTTATTATTATTTTATTATTGTTATTATTATTTATATAAAACTTTATAGTGTGATGGACGAAAACGATATTGCCGTTGCTATGCTTGCCGCACGGATTAACAGAAATCCTCAAGCCGAGCTGGTCCTTCTCATTATTCTTACTATTATCATCATTATTCCTATTGTATTACTTTAATTTTTATTAATATATAATTTTTTAATAAAAAAAGTACAACTAGTTTTGTTTATTATTATTATTACTTACTATAAAAGGCCCTCGCTATTGCTGCGTCGCTGTTAGAAAAGTCGAGCCATGAAGTTAATAAAGTTCATTTATCGCAGCAGAAACGAACGTTTCATGAAAAAGTTGTGCGTATTTTTATATTTAATACAAAAAAATATATTTTTGTTAAAGTTATTTTATTTAAAATATTTTTTATGTAATCACTTTACCCCAAATAGTTTTTATAAATATGAAGTATAAATATGGAAAGATATTAATTTTTCATTACTTGTATTTTTAAAAGAATATTAACTAAATATCAAATTTTTATGAATCTTTACAACGTTTTATTATATTATTTTATGATAAAAGTTTTTGTTTTATAGTACTTTTTAGTAACTTTTTTTTGGAAGCCTCTTCTAAATTCATTATATTTTTTTTGATACTTAAAAATAACTGGTAGCAATAATACTCGTTATCGGACACATTGAGATGACTTGCTTTCGAAGTTTAAACGATATTGTTGACATTATAAAAAAATTAATGAATAGATTTTTTTATAATTTTTGTGATTGGTTGGTATTTTCAATTTTTTTATTGAAGTTTTCTGTAACTAAATACTATATTTTCATAATTATTGTTGTAAGTGTATACTTTTTTAAAAAGTGCGCGTTTTTAAATAGTACTGAATTTTAATCAAAACTTTATAAGATAAAAAAAAGATTAAAAATAATTAAAGGGAATATTATAAAACTACGAATATACCAACATGGAAATTATTAACCTTAGTATACACGTGCTCTACAATGTTGCAATCCTTATGTTTAGTGTCATTTTTTTAATCATGTATATATAATTATAATGAATTTTTTTATATGTTAATATTAGTTTTTAGTTTACTATTTTATTTCCATAACTTTTACATTTTACTTTTCATTATTTTATAGCATATTGAAGCGTGTTCCACTTAATAACGCAGTTTTACCTTTTTTCTATTAATATATGTGGTTTAAAGGTGGGTTTTTATGATTGGTCGCCGGATTATACTTTGTACACTTTTATTCATTAAACATATTATTGACACTTAAAATTTTTTGGCACCGATTAAAATAAAAATATCCCGATTAAACAAAACAGAATATACTCGTTTTGGCATGGTATTTAATCTGTGACAAGTAATAAGTGGGACCAAATTATTTTTTTCTACAAAAACTTTAATGAACAAACTATTTTTTCTCATTAAAAAAACTTTAAAATTGTTTTTTTTTTTAAAAACTACATTTTACTTAGAAGTTTATCACTTTATTAATTTTACATCAACTATTTTACTGATTATTATTGCTACTAATATTTAATGAAAGAGTTTCTTTTATCTTTTTTGATGCAAGTTAGATTTAGTTTACTTATTAGTTTTAAACGTTATATAAAATAGTTTTGGATAAGAACTATTTTACTGATTATTATCTTCTAATATATAAAAAATTTCGTTATCTTTTATGTATAAATAGAAACTTTTTATTTATTATACTTTCCTATATATAATGAGTTTCTTTATATATTTTCTATAGGTACACACGAACTATCTCTTTATAATAACTATTATTTTTGTAGTATAAAAATTTTTTTTATATACTTATATATAAATAAGGATTATATAATTTAATTTATAATATTCTTTCATCTTCCTTTTTTATATAATAAATATATGAACTATTTTGTTTATTATTATTATTGTTATAGAGAAAACATTCTTTTATAATTTATTTACTTATTGTTTTTTTAAGAAAAAAGTTTCTTTTATATTTTTTATAAATCTAAAAAGTGTTTATTGAGATCAACATTACGAATGTCAAAAGGCGAAGTCCATTTGACGGTCGACCGCAACGCGCTCTTCGCTACTTCCTTTCTTGTACTTTTTATTAACAATAAATAAAAAATAATAATTTATATATTTACTATCGAATAAAGTAAAAAAAAATATTTTTTTATGTAATTGTATTTATTTGTTACTTTTCATTTATTTAAATAAAATTATAATAAGCACTATTTATTTATCTATTACCAAACTAAAAGTATTTATTAATATAGAAAATAGCCAAAAATAAATAATTTTTATATAATTATATTTATTTGCCACTTTTTTTATAGAATATTACAAAACAATAAGAAAAAGAAAATAATTTACTTGTTTACTATTACTATAAACACTTTTTTTATATATATTTTTCTATAAAACTAATTCACTTTTATATTTTAGTTTACATTTTATGTAGTTTATATATTTAAATGTTTTTTATCTGCATTTTTTTAATATTATATTATATTTAAGTATTAATAATAAATAAAAAAGAAAAGTTTAATAGTTAAAGGTATTAAAATTATAATATAATAGGAAAAATTATAAAAATTATTAGAAATAAGAAAAAAAACTTTTGAGTTAATTTAAAAATGTACACTAAATTTTGTACAGTATTTTAAATAAACAATAACATTAATGAATCTTTTTTATTTTTATTTATTATACTATTTACTATATTATTTCTTTTTTATATTTTTGTAAATTTTTTATATTAATTCTACTAATATTAATTTTTTTTTTAACTTTTGTTTATTATTATTAATGATTGTTGTAATATTTTAACCTTTTGTTTATTATTATTTTTTTTATAATATTTACTATACATTCAATATTTATTTTTTATATATGTAACTTTTTTTATTACAACTATTATTTTTTTATCTTTTGAGAATTATAATTATTACTTATAATATTTCTTTTTATATACTTAAGAAAATTTATTATCATTATTAATTATTATAAATGTTAATTCTTTTATTTATCATTTTTATATTATTAGAAATATTTACAATCTATTTATGTAACTTTTTATATTATTAGTAATTATTATTCTTTTGTTAATTTTTATTATATTTATTATTTCTCTTATAAATTGATTTAAATTTATTATTATTATAAACATATTAATTCTATAAATCTTTATTTTTTTATTTTTATTTAAAATATATAAATAACTTTTATTTATGATATTTATATTTCATTTTTTATTATTAATAATTATAATAATTTCAATTTTTTTTATAAATATAAATAACTTTTATAATATGTTTTTTTTATATCTTTATGTACATTTTTTATTTTTATTATTAATAAATATATAATTTTTAATTCTTCATTTTTTTTTTTTAATTCTTTAAATAATTTTTTTTATTAGTAATAATAATATTACTTTTATTAGTTCATTCAAGTAAATTTTCGAGTATATAATAAATATTTATTACAAACTTTATTTTATTGATATAAATAACATTTTCTAGTATTTTTGTTTCTTAATTTATTTATTTATTATTATTAATAATAAAAATTACTTTTATTTTTATTTTTATACTTTACTTTTAACTTTTTTATATAAAAACTTTATTTTTTTTTTACTTTTTTTTGTAATAATAATAATCTACTTTTTATTACGACAATATTTATTTTTGTACCTCTTTCTTAGGAAATAATGTACAGGCCAAAAAAAGAACTTAAAAAAAAGTTATTTGTTCATTTTAAAGGAGAAGGCGGATTGGATTACGGCGGCCTGGCTCGGTATTTCATTGGTTTATTATGAGATAGTTCATCGTTTTCCATTGGGCGCTTATACAATTTTAAAAATAATGAAGAGTTTTTATTTAATACTTTGAAGCGTCTATTCCTTCATAAATTATTATTTTTGCTGTTAAGTAGAGTTTTTATAATAATGGTTAATTGTTTGTTAATAAAAAGTTATTTAAAAATATTATATTTACTTTTTTTTTAAAACCCAAAAGTAGGGCCCAAGGGAATAATAATTTCTAAAACTGTAGAACTTTATATTTGTAAAGTTATAAAATAATGAGTTTTATATAAAAAAAATTTTTAAGTTGAGAACTTATTTTTTTAAAAAAGTTAAAGAAAGTATTATTAATTAGTAAAAATATGTTACATGTATTGTTAAAGTTTCTATTAAAGTTATTACAAAATATAAAAATTATATAAAAATGTTTATATAAAAATAATAGAAAGTTTTATAACTGTTATCATTTTAAAGAAAGTAAAGGAGTTAAATCTTTATAAATATGCAAACTTTCAACGCGTTCATTCATACTTCTTTTTTATAAAAAAAACTATATTTACTTTTATATTCTCTATTTACATTTATTTTTGATAAAAATTATCACTATTTTACAAAAAAATTCATTATTTTTTTTGTTTTATCTATAAAAGTTTCACTATTTATTATTAATAAAAAAGCGAGTGGTTTTATCTACTTTCCCACGAGTTGTTCACCCCAAAGCGCGGACTTTTTGAATTTTCTGATCATCAATCTTATTTGTTACAAATAGCTAATAACTTTTCAGTGGATATATATATGAAAGAAGCAGAAGATTTAGAATGTTTATTAAACGAAAAGAATAATAATAACAATAACAATACTGCTAATAATAACAACAATAACAGTAATAATAATGATGATGACAATAAATTAAACAAATCGCCTTCGCAAGAATTGTCACCATCCAATCGACTTGATGCCTCTTTGTCAGTAACCAATGAAGACGTTTCTAACGAACCGCATTTGTCACTGGCTGAGTTGCGCTCCAAAATGGATTCGCGTTATTACTTGTTTTTGGGGAGAGTTTTGGGTAATAATAATGATAATAAAGATGACGATAATAATAATAATAACAATAACAATAACAACAATAATAATAAAATAATACTTTTATTTAGGGCTTGCAGTTTTTCATAACCACTTTGTTGATGCCGTCTTTGTTAATACTTTTTATCGCTGCTTAGTAAATAAATTATTATTATTATATTTATTAATTTTATCATTATTATTATTAAAGGGAGGGTTCCCAATTACTCTTCGTGATATTGAAAAACTTGATGAGCAACTACATCGAAGTTTATTATGGCTCTTGTATTATTACTACTTATAAAATATATGTAATATTTAATGTTATTATTTAAAGGGAAAACAATGGCGTGGAAGAACTAAATATGCGGTTTACTATAGATGTCGTGGTCAACGAACGCGTGCGTTCCGTGGAGCTCCTCCCTGGGGGCCGTAATAAACTCGTCACGGATTTAAATAAAGAAGAGTACGTGAGGTTAGCAGTATTTTTAATAATAATAATAAATATAATAATACAAAATTTTCAGTTGTTTAATAGATTGGCGCGTTCATCGAGAAACAAAAGCTCAGCTCTCCGCTTTGAAATCCGGCTTTCATGAATTTATTCCGGAAGCTAAGTTAAAAAAATTTTCTGAACAAGAAATAGAGGTAATAATAATAATATTAGTAATAATGATAATAATAGTAATAGTGATAATAATAATAAAACAGTACTTGATCTCTGGCGAGGCCAAAATTGATACGGACGACTGGGAAAAAAATACTATTTATAAAAACTGCGACCGAGAGGCTACTATTGTCACGTGGTTTTGGCAGCTTATTACTGGTGGAGACGAAAAATTTAGATATAAAGTTTTGCAGTTTGTAACTGGCACGCAACGCGTAGTGTTTTTTATTTTTCTATTATTAGTTATATTAATATAATATATTTTTCTCAATGTTTAATATTATTTATATATTCCATAATACTAAAAATATTTATACTAATTTTTAATTTATATATATATTTTTTATATTTTGTTTTTACTTTTTTTTTCCAAGTATTAATAGATGATTATTAAATTTTATATAACTTTTATTTATTTTTTCTATATCCTTTTTTATATATTATTATTCTTTTAAAAGTTCATGCATACTTATATTTACTTATTATATTTATTTTTATTATGCCTTTTATTTTCATTAATAATAATTTATTACTACTTTTTAACTTTTTTTTTGTTAAGTGTTTATTTATATTTAAATAATAGTTTTTATAATAAAACTTTTTCGTTATTTTTTATAATAACTTTAATTATTATTATTACCCTTAAAAACTTTTTATATAAATTATATATTCTCTTTATTGTGTTCAATTTTTCTTCTTCTTATTTATATTTTATTAAAATTTTAATTTATTTATTATTTTAAGATACCAACTGAAGGCTTCCAAGCGCTGCAAGGCTCAGATGGGCCTCGAAAATTTTGTATACAACGCACCGCAGATGTTCATAAACTCCCTTCCAGCCACACGTGGTTCGTAAACCCATGTGCTCACAGAAGCTCCGCATTCCTACATTATTATTTATTATTTATTTTATATTTTGGTAGTTTTAATAGGTTGGACCTTCCCGATTACGAATCCTTTGAGGAGTTGAAAATGAAACTCGAGCTGGCCGTCAGCGGCTTTCAGGGGTTTTCGGATGAAAAATAGAAATCTTAAAATTTAGGTGGGACGATCACGTTTTTGTATATAAAAATTAAATAAAGTGGTGTAATATAAAATTGTTATTAAATAAAAACTGATTAGTAGCAATAATTGAAGTTTATTTAAATTTTAATTCGGCTTTAAATTAAATTTGCTCAAGCAATTAATTTTTTTGTTACACAGAAAAAGTTTGTAAATAGTAAAGATTTTCGCAATTTTTATATTTGGGCGCCCATCTTCAAACTGTTAATATAAATGTTTCTTTGGAACTACTGGTTACGCTGTAGGCGTTACTTAATATTTAAGAACAGCCTTGGTAAAAAATTTTGTTCTGAACATTTTATAATTGCTACAAAGAAAAAAGAGTATCTTTACTTTTTAGTTAAATGTAAGACAACACAACTGAGAAACTACAAAAATTAACGTAAAATTACGTTTAAAAAAATTAATTCTTTAGAAAATTTTTTTTATAAATATTAAGTGACAAGAACTATTTTTATAATAATACTTAACTAAAATCTGATTAAATTAACTATTTTAAAAGAGAGACATTCTTTTCAGTTTTCTAAAAGTTTAAAAAATTAAAATTTGACGTGTTAATTATTACTTGACTTAACATTTACAAAATAAGAGCTTTAATAAATATATGAATGGTACAATTTACTGAGTAAAAAGTTCACTTCCTGCGATAGTTTATACAAGTTACCTAAAAAATTTAATTTATTATTAAAAAAATAATTATTTTAATTTACCAGTTTTGTGACTGAATTAACAGAACATCATAAGAGAATGAAAAACTCTAGCAAGCTCGATATAAGAGTTAAAGTCATAACCATTTAGTTTTTATTTAAGTTATAATAAAGTATATTCGTATTTCTTTGTACAAGTCCCAGTTCATCTCCTTCGAGCGTAAAGTTGAAAAAATTTAAACCAATTTTAGGATGAAAAAAAAAAGCTTTAAGCAGATGAATATAACTAAATTCAATTTAAAGACTTTATTAATTATAAAAACCCGAGTTTTTTTTTTTATGTTTACAATAAAGTTGTAAGAAACCAACCTATTGATACTAGCAGATAAAAACAAAGTTTTTCAAAAGTCCTATATAATATATATACCCTAGCTTCCTTTTCTATTTTTACAGTAAAGTTTAGGAAAAAAAAAAACTAAACCACTGACTCTAGGAATATATAAAGCTTTTAGCAGATGAAATTGAGTTATTTCTTACAGTATCACTTCAAAGTAAAAATCCAAAGATCCTTTCTTAGACGAGGCACTTGTGAAGAGCTACTTTATAGGGCGTGTAGAGGCTCACCTTAAATTTTGAGAATTTGTTTTTATTAAACGATTTATGATATCGGAAGAGTACACTTGAAACAAAAGTGATAGTTAAGGAAAAGAAGCCTCGAGACGGAACCCGCCCTCCCCCGTTTGAGAAAACACTGATGTTTCTATCTTACAGTTTTTGTATACTTTCTTAGCTGAATATATTTTCTATAATTCATGAAGAAGAACAGCGATATTTTACATATGAAACTATGCCAAGACTGCCAAGAAGCTCCTGCGCTTGTTAATTGCCTTAATTGCAAAGTAATATACCCTTCTAAATTAGATTTGTGCTGAAAAATTCTTTTTAAATAATTATATTATTTCTTCTTTTAACTTTTGTTTTTCTTAAGGATTTCTTTTGCGAACTGTGTTTTCAGTATACACACAAACGAGGTAATAGACGCAAACATCTTGTAGAGACGTTAAATATAGCTTCTAACTTTAAGGATTCAAATAAGAAGTATTAAACATTTTTTCATTCCCTTTTTCCGATTAGTATAAATCTAACTTTCTAGGATCGAAACTTCTGCCCTTATTGAAGGGACTACAGCACATTTTGAAGTTTTACTAAAGGAAATTGAAAATGTAATTAACTACTTCCTTCTTTAATAAATTCTTAACATTTTTTATATTACTTTGTAGGAAAAGTTAAATGACTGTAACGACACAGAAACATTTTTAGACCATACCGAAAGTTTTAGTTCTTATTTTTTTGATCCTGAGTTAGTTGGCTCTCCAGAAAATTTTTACCTCCGGTGTAAATATATTCCACTTTGTTTAACTGAGAAAGAAAGGTAATAAAACTTTTCTCTTTGAAAGCATTTTTGCTTCTAAAAATTTTAATTGTACTAGTTAAATTCTTCAAGAGTAGCTTATAATTAGAACCTTATATAATAAAATATTTTATAAAAAAAGTATTAACAAAGTAAATTTTTGTTTAATTCCAAATAATCTTAGTATATATATTTTATTAAGAAAGCTGGTAATAAATAATATTTTTACTTTTTTTAAAAAAATGCTTTACAAATAAATTATGCCTTAACTTTTCTGATCTCTTTAGATAGAAAGAAATATTAATAATAAAAGGATTTCTATCCATAAAGTTCAACACGTTTTCGAATAAATTTTTAAAAAATAATAAACCATTCCTCAAGAAAAATTTAAAAAGTTATTTAGAAAACTTTATGACATTTGTCCCAATCCACCGCAAAGTTCATTGCTTTTATAAAAATACATATATATCAACTTTTGAGTAATCAATTTTTAATTGTTTTCATTTTTCAAATTTCAGTTTATATAAGCGAATAGGTTTTCATTTATTCTCTTTACATATTCTTTTGTTTGACATTCAATGTTCTATTTTCTGAATCTATTATACGTAATAATTCATTTGTAATTTATTTATATTTTATAATCTTTTGTATGAACCATCTTATTTAAATTTTTCATTCTTCCATTTTATATTTAGTTTTTTTTTTAACTTTTTAAAGGTAACTGTTTTATATATTTATTTTTTCATAATTTTTTAATACTGAACACTATAATAAATGTATAAACTTACTATTAAAAAATTTACAGCGCCTGTTAATCAACTTAAGTTTCTTTTTATTATTGATTTTAATATATTATATTATAGAGCACTTTTAAGGATTCTGGAGGGACTTCTTGAAATTTCTGAGTATACTAATATCATTGATTACTATAACTTTACTTTTTTTTGAATTAATTTCCTAATAGTTTAGAATTCTTTATTCAAATTTATGCTTTTTAAAAAAATATTCTTTTAGTAATCGTACTAAAAATTTAATTATAAAGATTTATATTTTTAACTAAATTTCTTTACTTCAATAATAAAAACTAATTTTATTATTAGTCACTGTAGGGTTGTTATAAATTTCTTTGTTATAAATTTTATATTATGAAAAAGAAATAAATCATATTCATACAATATTATTCTGTTCATATCTATTTTACTTATAATTACTCGGAAAAATCTTTTTTTTATTATATAATTATTTTTTTAGGTATACTGATAAAGTTGATGTTTCCAGTTCTTTATACGGATTTAACTTTGTCAGCAGTTTTTATGCTCGCTTTGATCAAGTAAATTATTTATTATAGACTGATTTCATAAAATCATTATAAAGATTATTTTTATAAGTTGCTAAATTATTATATCATAAGTAAATTATAATTTCTAACTCAATAAACTTTTTTTTCATACAATTATTTTATTATAAGTTATAATCCATCAACTATTGATTATATATCCTGTAATTATAAAAGATATATTTTTAAATTAATATATTCTTTTCAGATTCTCTCGAGTTATAAATAAATTTTAATATAATTTTTATTATTTTGTGAATTTGTTTATATATATGATACATTTAAGTACTGATAATTTAAATTAAGTAATCAAATTCTTATTTTACTTTTTTATTTTAATTTTTTTAATAAGTCATTTGTAAATATAGATGGGCCTTTTACTGATTAATAGTTATATATTTTTTTATTAACTTTTTATATTATTATTAATTGCTCTTAAAGAAAAAGGAAATGCAAAAACAGTTTTACGAAATTTGTCGTTTGGCTGTTGGGCTATTCACAAGCGGAAATCTCAATCAGGTAATTTTAAAATTCTATAAACTATTAAACTTTGAATTTATATTAAATTTCAACGAATTTCTATTTATAATTTTTTTCTATTATGCAGCGATAATAATAATTGATCATATTTTATAGTCTTGCCGGCTTTTTCTAAACAGAAAGTTTAGCGAAAACGCAAACTTCTTTAAAAATCTTTTTGAAATAGGAAGAAGACACAAAATTCTCAACCCTGAAAAAATGAGAAGCGCGTAGTATTTCTTATAAAAAATACTAATAAGAAAACATTTTTTTTATTTTATAATTTTTTTTAATAATAATATTATATTATCTTTATTTAATAGATATGGGAAGTTAATGTTTATGCTTCAAGACGCCGTTGTTCGTGAAGGTTGTTATAAAATAAAATAATATATAAATAAATATTTATATATACTCATAAAAATAATATAAAGTAATATACATATAAAGTTCCTTATAAAAATAATTAATTATAAAAAAAAGCTTGAAATTAAGTAAAATAAAAAAAATTTAAATTATTTATAATAAATTTATTATTACTTTTATCAATTTTTTACTTTAAAAATAATTGAGAATACTTTTTTAGTCTATTTTTATTTAATTATTTATTTTGATCTCAAAATAATAATTTTTAATCAAACTATATTTACTTTATATTATTTTTTTAATACTTTTTTTTTATATTTTAAGGTAATTGTTTATTATTCTTATTTTAACTAAACTTATTTAAGAAAATTTATTTTAAGTCAAAAATTTATATAGATCAAGATTTATTAATTTATATAACGTAAAAGTCTATTTTATTGTTATTATAAAATATAAATAAATTTATTATTAGCTAATATATTAATTTATTATTTCTTTAATTTTTTTACTACTTTTTTTCTTGAAATTTAGTTAAATGTATTAAATTTTTATTTCGAGTTTTTAATAGTAAAGTTAAATATCTAGATTTGCTAATAATAAATTTATAATTTTTATTTTTAGCATAATTATAATATATTTTATATATATATATATATGAATATTAATACTGTTTAAATAATTTTTAAAAGTTATAAATAAAAAGTTCGTAATTTATATAATTTATTAGTAACTTTTTTTCTAGTTTTAATAAATGAACTACTAAAAAATATTATAATATTCTTTTCATGGTTAAAAAATATATATAAAAAGTTTTAACGTTTAAAAAAAAAATTTTTTAATATATTTCAATATAAATTAAATTATTCTTAACTTTTCCGTTATAATTTTTTCACTTTTATTTTTAATAATCTAAATTTTTTGAATTTCTTTTTATATATTTTAATACAAAATTTAATTATTATCGACTATTTCAGTTTTTTTATAATTTTTTCGTTATAATTTTCCACTTTTAATTTTTAATACCTTAAAAAAAAGGTCTAATAATTTTATATTAAGCAGAATAATAAATTTTTTTGGAATTTTTTTTTAATTAAAATTTATTAATTTTTATTATTATTTAAAGTGAATAAATTTATATTTTTTATATTTTAATTATTATAAAATATTTACTGAATTTATTATATCAGAAGTTATAAATTTTACGATATAAAATATTTTATCTTAATTATTACAACATCAATTTTACTACTTTTTTAAAAAAAAATTATTTTTATTAATTTATTTCCTACATTAAGTAAAATTATATTTATATACTACTATTTTAATATTTTTTTTTAAAATAATATGAATTAATTATATATTTCAGTATAAGAATAATTTATATTATTATCTTTTTATTATTTATTATAAAAATTTTTTATACATTCATTAATAATTTTATTTTATGAGTATTTTTTATTATTTTAAGCACTATTTTATATAAAAAAGTTTATAAAAAAATTATTTTGAACTTTTTAATATAATTATTTATAATGAAAAATATATAAAATATATTTTTTTATTTTTTTTCTTTAAAATTTTTGAAATATTTATTTAATATTTTCTCTGGAAATATAATTTTTTAATCTTTTTTATTATATTTATATATTTTATATTTTTCAAAATTTACTAGAAATACTTTAAAATTTTTTACTTTTTTTTAATAATTTACTTATTATTATTGCTTGTATGTTTTCAAATATTTATTTTCTTTATATTATTCTTCTCAGGCGTTTCCAACTTCAATGTTTATAAAGAAATTGAAACGGTGCACACTCTCCTAAGCCAAACTGGCGCGCTTGATGTGCTGAAAGATAAAGATTTTATGCTTGCGACTTGCGTTTTTCACAAGTCCATGAACATTGTAACTCTCGCTACTTATATACTTAAAATGTTGGGAAAACGCGCCACAAATGTATATATAAATAAGGCGCATGCCTTGCTTGTTCTGCAAGTCCATGAATATATTGAATTTTTCGTCGGTCGTTAATATATATATGGTTTCCCTTCTTTAATTGTTGGGAAAAAGCGCCAAAAAATTAATTATTATTTGGCGCTCGACTTATGTGTGTCATAAAGTTTTTTTTTTCCTTTTTTTTATGTGTTGGGAGAGAGCAACCAAAACATAGTTATATAAATGAAGTGCGTTAATATTTATATACAACTATAAGCCGCTATCCACGTTTAATGACACTCGAGAGAAAGCGAGGAAGACCGTTTACCAGAAATATAGCGAGAAAGTAACAGTGGAAAATATTAAGCGCGTTATTGATAGCATAACTGATAATAATAGGTCAGCTCATTTTATGTTATTTTATAAGAGGTTAAGCCATTACATTATTATTTTTGCAATGCTTGTTTATAGTTTCTTGGTGGGAAACCGGTTGCCTATTGATAAAATGATTAGCTTTCTCGACACCTTCTTTAATCCTCGCCATGAAACTTCAAAGACTTCTTTAAAAATAACATCTGGGTAGGAATGATATTCATTATTATAGAAATACTAAATATGTGGACATATATAATGTGTTAAATTTTCTGAGAAGTTAGTTTTTAGTTTTTGTTTATAAGGAAACAATACATGATAATTTTTATTATTTTTGTGGTTTTGTGGCTGAGCCACCATTTTTATCAACTATTATTATAAATATTGATTTTAATGATGTTATCATTTTCATATATTTATTTTTAAAAAGTTATAAATAAACAGAAATATATTTCAAATCCCATAAAACTTATTAAAAAATATTTTATTAATCTTGACTTTACTGTTATGCAAAATAATATTTTTTCTTATAAATATCAATAGCAAATAACAGAAATAGTAGTCGTAAAGTCTATTGTAGATATATAAATAATAAATTTAATTTCAATCGTTTTACTTACAGAATAAACAAAAAAAATAATATTTTATTATTATAATTTTTCTTTTACTTTTATACTATTTAAGAACTTCTTATAATATATAAAAAATATCGATATTATAATTAAACGATAATAAAAATATATAAACTTTTACTTATAAAAGTTACTTTTAAAATTCAAGAACCTTTTACCAGTATATATATTAGAAATAAAATATAATACTATAAAGTTTTACTTATAAAAGTTATAATAAGTCATAATAATTAAAAATAATAGCGTAGAAGGCTCTTGTTTATCACATGATCACGCTAAGCAATACTCTTTTGTGCGGCAGTCGTTATGTTTATGGCGGAATATTCAGGATGAAATGTTCAAGTTATGGATTATGGCCGACTCGGACTTGCTAAGTTCAGACTATCATTTGACTAACACAGGTTGGGTGAAAGTTCATTATTTTTATAGTTATAATTATTTATAAAGACATGATTGGTTAACAATAATACTTTTCCCTATTCATATCCATTTTTTTTAAGTTTTTTTATTACTTTCTATGTGTAGTATAAGTTTTAATAAAAAAAATTATTTTTTATATAACTTTTTTTTTGTACTATATTTTTGTATTAAATCCAATTCGTAGGACAAGGCTTCAACAGAGTACAACCCGCTCCCAGCGTTACTCGTGCCATGGGTTCTTATATTATTGATTATTATTACCATTGTTATTTATTGCTATTACCATCAGCAAATATATTGAAAAAAGTCAAATCACACTGCAACGAATTGTGGGTCGGTTTAAGCGTAGTTCATTTGGGGGACAGGTGTGATCTCTATACCACGTGACTTTCTAGCTCCATCATTGCCTTTAATTGTTATGTCGTATTCATTTAATCATAATTTGTATTGTTTAGAATAGTATTAAGCAAAATAGTTAATAAGTCCATAAAAGTTTTTTTTTAACAATTTATTATTTATAACGAAAATTTTTAGAGATGTTCCGAATGCGCTATTTTTGATAGACAAGTATACTCTCGTTCCTAAAATTTTAAACCCTATTGTCACGTGTCTGGTAAGCACCTGTCTAACATAATATTTATTGTAATCGCTGTACTTTGAAAAGGAACAAATCGATGAACTGGCGAATAATAACATTTGTAAAAAACTTTTGGAAAAGTTTGGAGGCGTTGAAGGTTATCTTCTTCTATATTTTTATAATACTATTAATATTATTATATACTAAAAAGCCGCTAAAGTTGCTATACTGAGGGACTTTTTTCGTCACGGCTTCGACGGGAGTGGTGATGACGGTATTTATAAAATTGAGTAGCCCTCTTGCAATTTCATTAAAAATATTGAGTGGTATTCAGGAGGGTCGTGTGTGGATGGTCGACTGACGAGCTGCTGGAATTGGTGCTCCACCTTAGAAAAAAAACCATACTTCCCGCTTTTTTTAATTAGTGGCTTTATCGGCTTCGATGGACATTTTAAGTCACTATAAATGTTTATTATTATTAATTACTTATAAATAAAGTTTTATTAAAACTATTTAAGTTAACTAAAATCCTAAGTAGAAGATAAAAAATTATTGGTTAAACATTTTTTGCAAGCAAATATCGTTTAGTGCATAAGTACATTTTCTATTAAATAAAATATTTACCTTTAACAATTTTATAAAATACATTACAATAATATTTTTAATAATAATACAAAGAAAAGTTTCATCGTTTTTTAAAAAGTTATAAATTCATAAAAATCTGCAAAATGTTGTAGAGGATTCGTAAAAAAAAATTGTTTCATTTTTACTACCGAAAAACATGTACTTCTGGCATCGCAAATATTAGTGAAAAGTATCCCACCACGCTCATAATTTATTGTACGATTTAAAAAAAATTGGTCTGCAGTTAATAATTAAAAATAAACTTAAAGTAAAAAAATTATCTCTTAAAGTTTTACCAGAAGATAACTAAAGTAAAATTTAGGACAGCTTTTCAAAAGCTTTCATTGAAAAGGATCCAAATTTTAATAATATACACCGAAAGTTTTTTTTATTTTGCTTTAAAAAATTACGGCAAAGAGAAAAGTACGTAACACTAAAATAATACGTGAAAATGCAAAATCAGTTCAACGAAGCCTACGAGCTTCACGTTCCCTCTCGCGAAGAACCAAAAAATCACCAGGACGAACGGGCCCCTTAGCGTTACGAATTAGCGTGCGACTGCATCCGTTAACTGTTAAAAAGTTTATTATTATTATTTAATTATAAATAAAAAGATTAGGCTTGAAGCAAATACATCCACTTGCACTTGAGTGCACTGGCCCTGAGATCCAGTTCCACCTAAACTTTTCTGATCATTGCATGGATAACTTTGTCTTTGCCATTCTTAATTTTACAATTTTAATAAAGAAGTAAAATAACTTTCAAAGAGAAGTAGAACAAGTGGGCGACAGGAGAAAATATTACAATAGCCAAACTAGAAAGCCAAATTCTATATACATAGCTCCAGAGCACGTGCAATGGAGTATGAAATTTGTTAACGTGTGCTTTTTTGTAGGACCTTACCTCTCTCCTGCCGTTCTAACTGTGTGATGCCCCCTTTTTGTCATGTAACAGTTCCTCGATATTAGCAAAAAGCAGGAAAAGTTAAACAATTATATTATAATATTTGGAGAATATAATTAAACAGTTACTTATAGTAGCGAATTGACAGGTGCACGTTCACTATTAGTTACATGAATAGAACATAGCTTGTCCGTTATATACTACGCTTATGGCGCTATTAAATAACGGCCAGGTCGAATACTTTTTTATAAAACTCCACAAAAGCTATAACGCCAAGATGGTCATAAACATTATATGCCAACCTAGAAAATACTTCAATATATAACTGTGTTACTGCTATAATTAGAAAAAAGAACTATATTTATGAAATACTCTAAAAAAGTTGCTCTCACTAGGTTTATTTGGCACAAAATCTTAAAAGTCGTGCCGGCCAATTCTTGTTAAACTTTAAAATAAAGGAAAGAGCAATTTTTCCATTGTTTAGAATTCAATTCGGTAGAACTCTGCTTCCTTTAACAAATGTAAGTTTAAAATTGTTGTCAGGTAAAAGATTATAAGGAATCAACATAAGTAAAATTTAATAAACAAAATCAAAACTTTGTATTGAATTTAAGTAGAGAAAGTAGAAATTTAGTTTTCACGTTTTAGCTCGACGCAGTTCGCGATATCATTTAATGGTTGGTGCTATTATTTATTTTTATAAATTTACTAGTAGATCTTTTTTTTTTTAATTTAATTTCGAAGTCCACAGGGCTATGAAGTCGGTAACTGTAAAGGGTAGTCTTTTATGTTCCCAATTATAAAGCTGTTATGAACTACATACTTTTTATGCTTGACTTTGTGTATAATGAAAAAAATTAGTAAAATTCTCTCACTTAACCTTTTTAAGCTTCTTATATTAGTTTGTTAAGACATCTCGTGTTCTGAGTCTGTGAACTTTTTACTGCTATGTTCATGAGTTGACTTTAATACTCTACAGGTTAAAAGCTAGTTTTTATAAACAAAATACACGCAAAAACAAAACTTACTCTACATAATTTAATGCTCGAACTTCGCAAAGTCTTATTAGAAGCCCGCTTTACACCCAAATTTTTTATTATATCTCCTCTCTTATAACAAAGACTATCCCGGCGACTAAACTTTAATTCTTTTTGTTTTAATTGGCAAGACCTTTTTCCTCCAAATATACGCATTCGTTTTCAAATAACTGGTAAATGCTGATAGAAGTTAATTTAAAGAGTCTCTGTGTAGATCATAGAAATTTAAACTTTTTTTTTGTTTAAACTACAAATAGAGCTTCTTGTTTTATCCGCATATAAAGCTTTATCATTTGAAAAGAACTTTTTTGTTAGATCTTTGTATATTGAGCAAAATTCGATAATTTAAACTAAGAGCTGGAAGTGTATGTGTGCTACATTATATACCTTTTTAAAGCCAAAGTACACTCGGCTAAACATAATGACAGAAAAGCTATTAAGCTTTCAAGTCTTTTCTAGCTATTACAGGAGCATAAGTTGATTTTTACTTTGAGTGATCAAAAAATCTTTCTAGAAAGAATTTCTAGCCTTTTTGTTCCAATTTATTTTAAGTTTAAAATACCAGGTAAAATTTTAAAAATTCCATCTATAACTTATAAAAAAGCTTTATCTCAAAAATTCCGAAAGCTTATCTTAAACCTCATCTTGTTGGTAAAGCGAAAACTAGACCAATTTATTTTTTTGATACTCTTTAAGGCGTAGCTTTTTCAAATTTCTAATTTTTATTTTTATTTATCTAAATTTTGTTTAACGGTTTTGATTATTTTGCTATTATATTAAAAGACTCTCCGCTATAGCGAACCGGAAGAAAATATTATGAACTTTCGCTCAGAACATTATATATATATTTATAATTTAATGTCCTAAATAAAATTCACTTGACAAGTACGTTTTCAAAAATTACTGCTCTTGATGAACTATTAACAACTACTAATTATAACCATGTAATATTTTTTTAATAATTTTGAATACATTAGTTATAATAATTATTAGTTACACTTGTTATAATAATAAGAATAATACGCGCATTCTATGCACTGCAAGCATCTGTATATTAATTTAACTTGGATCGTTTATATAAATCGGCTGGTACATATTTTTCTCTGTGTTTTATCATATGTATATATTTATAGGTCCGCCTCTCAGAAAACTCTTAGAAGTCCTATTTCGCTGTTGCAGCCGTCCGTTCCGAATACTATAAATTTACTTCTGCAACAAAAGTTAGACAACAATTTTGTTTTATTTTTTAAAAAAAACAGTCATACTATAATAAGTTTAAAGTTAGTAAGTTTAGATTACTATCCTTCATGAGAATGATAATAGATGATTTTTGTCTAGTACAAATTTTATTTATTAAAAAAAGATGTATACGTAACCACCAAGACCAAGAAGTTTGTGATACAGCTACTTTTTAGCTCCTCTTGTTTGGCTAAAGTAATAAGTGCTGTCTTCCAGTATACAGTGCAGTGGTAGTATAGTAGTATAGTATAGTACTGTACGGAGAGTGCCATATACTAGTATATATATGTGTCCGGGCCCCCCTGACATTGATTTTAAGCATTAATGCTCCAATCACTTAGCTACAGTGACAGCTCATAAATTCTGCTTGATAAATTTTGTAAATATCTTTTGTTAGTTTGTGTCAGAATTTGATATTTTAATAAATGATTTTCTGGCCACTTAAGACCACTTCTGGCGTGGTAGGAAACCTAACAGTGCACAGTAAGCAATTACAATTTATATTTTAAAAATAAAAAGAGTTGATCCTAATAATTAAAACACCGGCTTGTGATTTGGCCGTTAGGAACATCAGTAGTTGTGAAATTTTCATAGACCTATTTAAGGGAAAATATGAATAAGTCAACGTTTTATTGGTTTGAGATATATAATTTATAACGCGGACTTCCACTCTTTATAGGAGACCACGGCACCCCGGACGTAGAGAACTTCTTTTCTCAATTGTAAACCAAATTAAGCAGTGTTTTGGGCCCCTTCTAATCTTGACCTGGTCTAGTATATCAACTTTATAAATAAATAATTATAAATTAATTTTTTTATTACATAACGGTACTAGAATTATCAATGCAGATATTATATATATTTTCATTGTACTTATAATTGTGACGTTGCCTTCTTTTTTTTATTATGTATACTATCCAGCTGTGTAGATTAAGAGTATCTCGATTTGCTAAGCAATTCGATTAGTGGTGTAAAAATAGATAAAGAAAGTCTGTAGCAAGCCAGTGCAATAAATAAATAAGCTGAAGTCAACTACAAGCTTTATACTACCACAAATCTAATATACGCTTATAAATTTGAAACAACTGGTGTTGCTCAAGTTTAATAAAGCCAAGCAGGAATACATTTTAATATAGTTTCCGAAAAATTGAAATCTCTCTTCACTAATTATTTAAGGTTCCAATGAAAACATTTAAGGCAGTAAAGGTATTATGCAAAGCGACGTAAAGCAGAAAGAAATAATACATAAATGTAATATTCTGCCAACCTTTTAAAGCCAACAAATAACCTCTATTAGAAAAGGAATATAGTGACGTTTAAGACAAAAAGTAGTAACTCTTTAAAGCACGGAATGCCAAGTATAACAATATATACGAATATGTAAAAGAAAATTTTAATTTTTTTAATTCCTTTCTTCTTTCACAAGTCATAAGGAAAAAGGTGAAACCAAATACAAGTGAACGTAGTATGAACTTAATAAGTTAAAGCCACCGCAAGTATATGTTTTTTAAGGTGGTAATCTTATCTGGAACATCAGTTTTGGAAGATCCCAACGAACTTTCATTATTTTTACCAGCAGAAGGGGAAGTTTCGGGGTCACTTAGATTTTTGTAGAAGACTCACTTTCACTATTTTCTTAAACAATAATAGTTCCCAGAAAATCCGTTATACTCGATGAAAGGCAATTAAATTTATCAGAATTATTTGTCTTCTATTTTTCCGTTACGAGTGCAGTCTAATAAGGAAAAATACTAAATCATATTATTAAAAAACATTTAAAACAGTTCAAAACATAAAATAAGGAGAACACAAGGCTTAATAAATAAGCATAGAACATAATCATAAAACATAAAACACAAAAACAAGTAGAATATTTCATTAAACATTATAACACTAACCATAAAACATATACAAGGGAAAATTATTTTCCACATATAAAATAATTTGACCCACTTTATCAATTAGATACAAACTAACAAAGGAAAAAATTTAATATGGCTAATCTGGGGCAACTAAATTTATTATACAAATATGGAAGCAATTTTTGACTTTTCGTAAAGGTATAAATACAGCCAAAAACTGATCTATAAAGCGTTCCGCTCGTGCTCTCGTTTTACTTCCTTGGCTTTTGTCTGCCTACTTATTTTGTAAGCTCCATTATTTTACTTAATTATACACATAATGCATAAATTTAATTAACGTTTTACATTTATTATATTTTTAATGTAACGTATTCTACAAAATTTTGATACAGTCATCGGTAGGCTTAACTTTTAGTAGTTGTGAGCAACAAAGAAATTTCTTATCGAGTATCACACAAAAAAAAAAATTTACTCAGCAAATTTAAAGGAAATGGAAGATTTTACGTATATTTATGTTTCCAGAGGTCTATTAGTACACAAGTTAACTAACTGACAAACGAAAAACTGCTTTTAACGAACTTCTGCAAAAAGCAATAATAAAAAAATAACTATCATTTCAAAATTAATACGACTACAAAAATTGTAGATAAACTTAAAACATTATTAAACGCATTTAATAAACAGTGTTCATATAAATTAATGAAAAGAAAAAAAAGCGCAATAAAAAGGCTAAATAACTCCACAAAATATTTAAAACAAAAAACTTTCAATGATAATAACTTTTTCAGCTCCCAGAAGAAACAAAAATATATAATTTTTATAAAGTTTCCATAAAGGTGCTTAACAAAAATAATTCATAGAAAAAAATATTGCAAAGAAAATATAAATTTAGGACCAATTAATTTTGCGCCTATACGGAAAAATTTCAAATATAGATCAGTATATGTAAGATGCACTACATAATTTATTAAGCACACTTCAGGACTCTTCATGGTCTTAATTAGTGTTACGACCCCCGTTGGGTTTCTACGTAGATATTAAAGCGCGCCCCAAACTTCAACTGAAAAAATAAAAGAATAAAAGTATAAAATAGGTTAAGTACAATTTATTATAAACGAAATAATATATGAAAAAGAGAAGGAATTATCCAATAAAACTGAGAAAGAAACTTAGAAAGAAAGGTTAAAACCAGAACTAAGATAGCACCGAAGAGACGCAAAACGTGCTTCACTATAAAGAATATAACAGGAATCAGAAAGCTCTCTGCCAGGCGCAAACCTTTCACCTAAGAGTTGAGCCAGAGCAAGTGAAGATTAGGTGTTCGAGGTAATGACATGTGCCCTATGTAACAATCAGTTGTTCTGTGTGCCACAAAACTGTTTTGCTAGATTCTGAAATAACTAATAATTTATAAAGTTCTATAGCTTAACTCTTGGTTCTTAAGAAATATACTTACGTTTAAAACTGATTACGTTGAGCTTTTATATTGATAAATAGGAAAGTGAGAATAACTCAGAAAGTAATTACGAGGTAGAAATAGTACACCAATTCGATTTAATTCTAGCAGTAGCTTTATTAGTGTAATCTCGTTAAGCAGTATAAAGTACATGCAATGGTTAAATTGGTTATTGAACTTTTGAGGCAAAAGTAACTAAAGTTAAGAAAAACTATATATTAAGTAATTCTGATAAAATCTTTTTTAAACTTTTCTTTCAAATAAAAGTTGAACTTTAGAGTTTAGTTTAATGTGAAGTTTATAAAATAATATTTCTAATAATCTATTCGTTTAAGGAGTTTTACGAAAAATATTAGAGCCTACTCCCACTTTTCAAAAATTAATTAAAAAAATTCTTATTTTCTAAATTTTAGTCTCCTCTTTTACAAGATGTTACTTAGTTTATAAAAAATAATGTATAAAAAAATTCTTAATTATATTTACTTTATATCAACTCAACATAATAAAAATTATATAAACTAATTCTTCCTTTTTTTAAACTACCTCAACAAAAATTTTAATTTCATTTTTAAAACTTTCATTTCTTAAAATCGAAAAAATTCACTAAAATTTACTGTTACTTCTATTAAAAAACTTATTACCTCAAACCCGAATATGGATTTTTATTATAATTTTTTAATACTCCAATTGTTATAATAATAATTTATCTTTACCGATTTCTTTATAAAAATTTAGCCACGCTTAAATTTATTTGTATAAAATTTTGGTTCATTTACATAGGAAATTGCAATTAACAAAATTAATTGTTGAATTTTTTTAACTTTCTCTTTAAAAATATAATTTTTAATATATAAATTTTAACTATTTTTGCAATGCTTTCCTTTTTATGTTAACAATTTTCCTTTATATATATAATTTATAATTTTTTTAAAAAAGTAAATTTTACTTAACTTTTTCTCTCTTTCTTACTTTTAATAATAATTAACGAATCTTCACATCTAAAAAGTAATTATAGATTTAATTTAAATCTTGAAGTTTATTATTATCCAAATCACGTTCATATTCAATTTCAATTTTTTTTCGAGACCCTTTATATTTAATTTCAAAATATTAGAAAAATAAATTATTAAACCGTAATAATAAAATATATATTTGTTTATAATATATAAAAATAACAAAGGAAAATAAATACAAAATTATATAAATATTTAAAAAAGTTGTAAAAAAAATTTAAACTTATAGAAATGAATAAGAGAATAAACTGTAAAAGTTTTTTATAAAAAGTTCATATAATAAATATTATAGAAAAATAAAAATTTATAAAAAAAATTTAATGAAGATAATAAATCTCAATAAACCAAAAAATTTAACTTAATATAATAAAATATTAAAAAATCAATTATTAAATATATATAACCATAAAAAAATATATAATATTCATATTAAATAATATAATATAAAAATACATATAAAAAATTTACATGCAGAAGAGTTTTCTAAAAGCTTATATCTTTTTTTAAAATATAACAAAAATGTATACTCAAGCGTTTGTAAATTTATAACATTTAACGATCAATAAAATATTATTTATAATAAATGATAAAAACAAAATTTACAAAAAGAATATTTTATTTGTAAATATAATAAATAGAAGCATATTAAAAAGTTTATGATTTTCAATATATATACTTATAATATAATATTTCTTTTAAGAAATAATAACAAGTAATAATATATAAAACTACACTACTATATAATATTAATTATTAATATTAAAATAATATTATAATAAATATAATAATAATTATCATTAGATTTAATATAACCATTAATAAAAAAACTAACATACTAATGAAAAATATATTTTTTAATAAAATTATAAAATAAAATATTATTAACAAATGATATAATAATAATTTATATAAAAAAATAAATTATCTTGTTTATAAAATATATAAAAATAAAAATAAAAATCATATATAACAAAATAAACAAAGCTATAACTATATTAATATAAAACATAAATTCATAAATATTATACTATACAAAAATAATAAAAAATTAGAAAAATAATCATATATACAAAAATAATCAATAAAAAAATATTTTTTATAGATATTTAAAAAATGATATATTAAAATAACATACATAAAATTAAAAATTTATTCTAAAAATAATATTTATAAATAATAAAATAATAATTCATATAATATACTTTTACGAAATAATTATAGATAAAAAATGTTAATAAAAAAATTTTTTTAAGTAAAATAATAATATATATAAAATGATAAAAAAACATTTTTAATATTTATAGTCAAATATATAACCTGATAGATAATATAAAAAATATATAGGATACTTTATAGATAGTAATAACAATTGTAAATAAAAAATATAAATAAAAAATCTGTATTCATACAATATAATATATAATAAACAAAATAAATTATTTTTCTTGATCAAAAATTAAATAATAATGAAAAAGTATTATATTGGGAGTACTTATTGATAATATAACTATGCCATACAGAGAATTAGTATAAATATTTTTATAAAATAATTATATAAAACTCAAATATACAAAAAATAAAATAAAAAAACTTTCAAAAAAATATAATAACGTAAAATAAAAATAATATATACAAAATATTTTATATATTTAATAAAATAATAATTATTTAATTTAAATTTTCTAATAGAATATATAATATATTAATAAAGTATATCATATATAATTTTTTGAAAAATGATAAAATAATATATTATATTTACAATAGAGTGATTATGAAATATATGAAGTTCTTGTAATAAATATATATATTTTATAGAAAATATAATATTATTATTAAAAAAATTAATAGAAAATCACAATTTTATAATAAAATAATAAAAATACATAATAAATATAACAAAAAAAATTATTTCTTTAAGAAATATAGTAATAAAGCATATATTAAAATTAAAAAATATGTATTTTTATTAATAATATAATCAAATATAGAAAAATAAAAAATAAATTTTATAAATATAAAAATAAATAATTAATAATTTTAACAAAATAATAATAAATATATTTAATAACATATAATATATAAACAAAGAGAAAAATATTTTTATCAGTAATATAATTATTTATACTTTTATAGATAATATAATAATATATAAAAATAATAAATAAATATAAAATTTATAATAAAGTAATTACCATATACATAAAAATAATAAACAAAACAAAAATAATTATTTATTTTTTATAAAGATTTCGTATAAAAAAAATATAACAATAAGATATACTTCATAAAATAAATAAAATATAAAATTTTTAAAAAAAATAATATTAATTGACATAATTATAAATTTTTTTTTAAATAATAATAGAATAAAATATAAATAAAAACAAACTGAGTAATTAATTATTTTTAAAGAAAATAAAATGATATGTATAAATAATTAAAAAGAAGAAAAGGATATATATATAAAATAATAAAAAAATACGCTTGAGCTCGTGTTCATCTCTTTCATCCTCAACACCACTCGTATTAAAATCTTCAAAGTCACTATAAACTTCATCGTCTGAAGCTTCTACATATTCGACTTCTTCTTGAGAATCTAAAAAAATATATTATATAAAATTTATCATATTTTTCTTTTTATTATAAAAAAACTTTTGTATAAAAAATTATACTGAAAATGTATAATAGAAATTCTATATAACTTAAAAAGAACAAAATAAAAATTATTATGACTTGAAAAAAGTTTCTTTACTTAAAAGTAAACTTATTAGAGAAAAACTAAAGAATACAAAAACTGAATTTTACTTATAAAAAAAACTAATAAACTTTATATATAAAAAACATCAAAATTTAAGCAAAAGTATTATTTAAAAAACTTCAAAAATAGTTAACAAGTAAAAAAAAAGTCACACGTTTCTATATATAAACGAAAAACTAGCAAACTTTTACAATAAATTTATTTATTTAAATACATATAAAGTTAGTAATACGAATAAATAACGTATGAAACCAGTAACCTTCTTCTTCTTCTTCTTCAGCTTCCAATACTTTTTCAAAAGCTTGTTGAGGAAAGTTATATATTTCACCGTACGTTCCCTAATAATATAAAAAACTGTACTTGGTTTACTATAATAAACCAAGCAAAACGCAAATTACTGTTTATAAAAGTATAGTATAGAATACTATGTTTGCTATGTAAAGCTACAATAAAAGTAAAGCAGAAATAATATATTATATTTCTATCAGCACGTCGAAAAATACCCCATCAAAAATGCAAGTAGTTGCTAATAATTTGAAGGTTTGTATAAAAAGTTTGTCGGGGGATGTAAAGCTCAATAAACAAACGGAACCAATAATATCAAAATATGCAAAAAATTCATTGTTTTTTATTTTATTAACTTTATCTTAAAATTAGTATACTATAACAATTTTTATTAATCAACATTTTTTACTTTCTATTATTAACTTTTTATAAAAATTATTTGAATTGTTATAAAATCCTTAAATTTTAAAATTAATTTCGACTTTTTATTTATTTTGTTTATTATGTTTATAAAATCTTTATCTTTTACAACACGTTGTATAAATTAAATTTATTAGAATACTTTTTAAAGCTTTATAATTTTATAATTTCAACTTTTTATATAATTTATGAGTTATTATGCTTTTATAAATTTATTATAAACTTTATAATTTACTTTAGTTTACTATAATACTTTTAATAAATATTATTATTAAAGCTGCAACCATTTTATAATAAGAATATTATTATAAACAATACATTTTTTTTATAATATACTTAACGTGGCGCACAGTACAAATAAAGATTTATAAAATTGGACAAAATATTTTTTATGTAAATGATTAATTTAAAAAAAGATGAATTTATCACTAATGATAGAAATAAACTAAAGATGAGTGAAAAACTTAAATTAGAAAAAAAAAACTTATATTTTTATTCAATTTTTTTTATTACGAAATATAATAAATAATTATTTTCAAAAAAATAAAGTTATATACCTTTTTTTTATTACTTAATTTATTTATTAAATAATCTTTCTGGTGATTTTTTTAAAAATAATTACCTTTTTTAGTTAGATTTATATAGTAAATAGCTAACCAGGTCTTTACTTATTAAGTAAATAATTTTTATTTAATAAATTAATAAATAAATTAAGAAATTACAATTAAAGGTATCTAAATTGTAAAAGTTAAAAATCCATCAGAAGGCCAAATACAAAAATTATAATAATTATAAGTTTATAATATTTAAATATTTAAAATTAACTAAATCTTAATTTTAGATAAAGTAATTGTTTATCAAAAAGTTACACAACAATTAAATTAAATAAGTAGAACTTTTAGAAAAGTAATTAAATTATATTGAGATATAAATTTTATTAATTTAAAAAAGAGTCTAATAAAATAAAATTGAAATTCAAAAAAATTTATAAACATTAAATATAAAAATTGATTCAGTTTTAAAAATTAGATGTATACTTACGAAAAAAGATTGAATATATGAATAAAAATATATGTAGCATATAAAATACCTTTTGAAGACGAGAAAGAAGTTCTTTTTCTATTTTATTTTCTAGCTGAGCTGCAATGCGCGCCTGCTCTTCTCGCTTCCTTTCTCTTTTTTCAACTAAAAATTTTAAAAAATTAAGAATTAACAAATTAATTGAAGTTTGTAAATTTTTATGATATATAGAAAAATTTAAAGTAATATAATATAGTAAATACATAATTCACAAAAAAATAAATATAAATAGATTGTAATTAGAAAAACAAATTAATAAAAATAGTAAAGTTAGTAATAGGTGTAATAAAAAATTATAATAATTTGTAACAAAAAACTTTTATTTTTCAAGGGAACAAGTTTGGTAGTAGAAGATTTTTTCTTCATTTTCCTTATTCTAATTAAGTATTGAGTTATTTTTGTAAATCTTTGCTTGCACTTATGAATCATAAATTTAGGCCAATAACGTAAATTTTTATCTATCTAAAAAATTAAAAGTTTATAGGAATTAATGAAATAAAAAACTTAAATAATAATAACCACTTCCAAAGCTGATTCATAATTTTTGGAAAGTTTTATTTTTTCCCATAACTTACTAGGCAAGTGAGCCCGCTCAATGGTTTTCATGTATAAATAGCAAACGCCTATATACGATAAGTTGATAAAACAAATAAAATTTTATTACTCACTTATATAAAAAAATATGTATTAATATATAAAATGTGTTATAAGTAAGAAAACCATTTTCTTCTTTGATAGTAGCATAACGGCTATTTGCTAGAGGACAACTTTGCCGACTACATATTCCCGTAACGTTGTCTTTATTTCTACAAAGATTTTCAGTTTGAAATCTAAATAAAAAAAATTATATTAAATTAACTACCGAAAAAAAAAAGTATACTTCGCCTTATAAGAACAAAAATGATGGTTTAGAAGCTGCCAAACAACTTGGTCGCTTTGCATTTTTTGTATTATACATAAATATAATCGACTATAGCCACGTCGACGGAAATATTCAACATTGGCAAAGAGCAGCGGCTAAGGTTAAGCATGAGGGTTGGGCCTCCATGTGCTTATTTTGAAAGTATAGTTAATTGGTATTTATTAGATATAAAAGTGAACTGTTATAATTGACTTTTACTAAGACGAGATCGCTCAACTTTCTTACTGAATATTTAATACATTTAAACTTTGAACTAAAATTTAAAGAAAAAAAAGGAATTAAAATATTTTATTTTTAACAATAATTTATTTTATTGATAATAACTTTCCTAAAATTAAGATAAAAAAAACTAAATTTTTTTTTTCTAAATTTTCAAAATATTATAATATTATTTTTATCATTATAATCACAATTATTATAGAAGGATCTTTACTTGATGTGCAATTTAGCAGACCACTCGCTCTGCAGCTTCCACAGAGTAAAGCTGACCAAGTCTCCTGACTGGTTGTTTTGTTTATGTTTTGAAGGTAAAACTATTTTATTACTTTTAAATTTATTTATTTATTTATTAATATAAAAATTTTATTGTTGACTTTATTGTTAACTTTTTTCTTTTTATTGTTATTATTAGACCTAAATGCTTTAGCTTTGTATATAACAAATACAAGTTCTTTTGATTAGAAATTAGCTGGACTTTTTAATAAACATATGAAGACACTATTACGTTAATTAAAAATTATAATCATAAAATCTTTTGTTTATAAAATTCATACATTTTATATACATCTATTTTACTTTCATATTTTTAAATTTCTACAAATATAAATAAGAAAAACCTTTTATAATGTTAAAGATTTATAGAAGCAGTTTTTCAAATTTTAATGCGAGTTTATAAGCATAATATTATTGTATAAATTATTATTACTATTTTTATGACTATATTTATAATTATTATTACTAGTAATATATTTATAATAATTATTATCATTATTTATATCCGATACAACTAATGGATTATAAATCACAACCAATAAAAACTGCAGGCTCTCTAGAATCACGCGAGTTGTGCTTGGAATTTAAATATTTGAGTTTTTGGTTACTACTTTATTATTTACGATGATTTTTTAAATTATAATTAAAACTTTAAATATCGTTTTTTACTAATTATAATAATTATAAAAATATATTTGTATCTAATAGTAATTTTTTAAAGATATATTTATTGTGGTGAAACAATTATACGTTTATAATATAAATTTATTTAGATTATTATAAAGCGGTGACACACTTTAATGTGTTAAATGTCATAAGAACATCAGCCTTTTTCAAAAGGTGTTTTTTTTCGCTTCTTGTTTTTTGTAGTTATTATATAATAAAATAAAACTTTTCCACGGAGTTATACTTTTTTCTATTGGCCATTAGTAAACAAAAATGAAAGTAATATTAGAAGATACGTTGCTGTCAGACCATTAATTCAGTACATCTCCTAAGTGTCTTCCTATTACCAATTATACAAATTAGACAGACTGGCTTTGCAGTCATTGGATGCTTCCAACGTTAATATAAATTTTTTTTAATTTCTTTAAGCGTTGCGATTTTACTTTCACGCAAGAGTTGAGCGAAACTCTTATCACCGAGAGTTCAAAAAGATTGCCTGTGGCTGGCCTGCGCTACAGCATACTGTGTTGTTTATTTGGTGGATTCTTAAACATACTCGACCTCCAGAATTTTTTTTATTACCTATTTTGTAAGTAATGTAATAAAAAAGTTGTTACTATTACGCCTTATAAGATATATATTAACAGTAGTATACACCATAAAAATAATAAAAGGTAGTAAATATTTATTTATACAAACAGACACCATATAGAGTAGTAATTTAAATAGATAATATTATTACGCACTTGCAAATTTTTTTTTAATAAGAATAACAAATAAATAATTATTGTAATAACAGAAATAATAAAATGTAATAATTTAAATAATCAATAATAATTACAATTAAAATAAATTTTTTATTATATAATAAATAGTAATATTTGTTAATATTATAATATAAATTAATAGAAACTTAAAAGAAATAATTTAAATAATACTAATAATATACACATCGTTCAAATAATAAACAGTAATAAAGGTAAATAATTATAATAATAAAAATAATGAATATTAATTATAGAAATAATATATAATAATAATACATACTTGTTAAAATAATAATTAGGAAGGTACCATAATAATAAATAATACGTTAAATATTAAATAAAAACAGTAGAATTAAAAATTTATAATAATATATTTTAATAAATTTTGCTATACACGAAGAGATGCTTGTAGTTCCCAGTGTTCCAAAGTTATCTATAAAGCACGGCCTTCGCAACGGCCCAACAGAATGACTGTGGAACTACTGGGAGGTCAACATATTGAAACATTCATTGGACTCATAAATATTGGAGACATATCCACTATATCGTGCAAAATTTTCTTTATTATGTGTTGTGAATTTATAGAAAGCAGTTAACCTTTGTTAAGTAACGGCTAATGTAAATTTTAAAGATCCTTCAACTACTTTAAAATACTCTTTGAAGTCCTGCAAAAATAATAATAATAACTCAGAGCTATTATGTTTTGTTTTAAAATTGCTTTTACTTCTAAGTTATTATTATTATAATTATTTTTATTATTAAATGAAAGAAAAGGTCCTCGTTATTTCGGTGCATATGACAAGTTTGTTGATTGGTTAATTTTACTCTTTTTTCTATTGGATAACTTTTTCATATTTACGTGGATTTTAAAATTTTTTGTTTTTTAATTAATTACTTAAAATAACATAAAAACTTTTCAAGATTTTCAATGTTATTATTACAGTTATAATATGTTTACTTATTATGCTTTGCTTTACTCATATACATTGTTGCCAAGCAACGCTATTAAGTTTCACGTGTTGTAGGATTTAAAGAGCACCTTAACTTAAAAATATGAAAAGTACAAGTAGCTATTAAAGTACTTTTCTATATTATTATTATATCTATTATTATTTCGTTATTATTATTATTTTAAAGGTTTCAAAGAAGTTTAACTTTCTCAACGCCTTCTATAGTAGAGAAGGTGGATGACTCAGTCATGAGGTAGATTAAACCATCACATTCTTTTTAACGCTTTGAGTAACCAGCCCGAGTTTTGACGCGAGAAGTGTGTGCTAAGAGACAGGGTAGAGACGCTACGAAAACATGTGTTAGTTTGTGTGTAAATCTTGTTTTTCTAGCAGTACAAGGCAGGGTTTCTACATCAAACATAATTAAATTTTTATAGAATTTAGGAATGTATTATGGTGAAGTTTTCGTAGTTGAAGTAATACTACATTATGTTTACCAATAGGTAGTTTTATTTCTTAATTCAGTGATTTACCCTACGTTAACCACAGTCACAGTTTCCTTGTTTTGCGCTTGCGGAGTACTTGAATAATTTTTTTTTAAGTTAGAATATATTCTTTATATATCTCAAAAATCCGTTCGGAAGACAAATAGGGAAGTAATAAAAGAATGCTTGAAAAAAGAATACAGTACTGGAGAAGCGGCAGTAATTTATGGGTTAATCGCTAAACTTTGCATAGTAGATTATCTATAATAGCTGAACATAATCAGAAAGTAAGTTATGTAATTCAGATTCTGGTGCAGATATAGAAGAAACCGTAACAACAATATTCAAAACATTTATGCGGTTAAGCAAGTACTTTCGAAAACATTAGGTTTCATGGGAATGGTCAATGTAGCAGGAGGAAATTCTCGTGTGTATTTATTTCCGCGGGTATGCCCCCCCCGAGGAATACTTAATTAACGGTTCGATTCTAGCCTGGTCATATGTAACAGACCGGGCTGGATGACTGTTGCTATAAAACATATCGTTTAATATACCGATGTTCAACAGATCCTCGATCATTACTACTCATTGCCTATCACAAGTCTTACACCTCTGTGGAATCCATTAAACTATGTAAACAGAGGGGAACTGACAAAGTTAGTGTTTTTTCGGGCGTTTATTATAATATTATCAGTGGATTAAAAAACCTGGATTGTGTCCTACTAATAGAATTGCTAGGCAAGCACTATAAAAGAAGACGAATATAACACAGTCAAAGATATTTCAAGTAACTCCCCTCAATCGGAACCACAAGTACTAATTTTGAAAATAAAATCTAAACCTTTATTAGTACTTCACTGCCTTAATAAATCAGTCACATAAACTGCGTCGAGTGATAACCTGGACAACAATGAATCTACAATATAGAGATCGTTGGAAACAACTCGACCCTATCAAATCCAAATGAATCAAAAGAAGTTTCAAAAGAAAGAGAGAATCTAAATCAAACGTTTACCAGAGTTGAGGGAAAGAGAGCATTTGGAAATGGAGAAACTAAGAATAACATTACTGAAAAAGAATACTGTACTTAAAAAAAGAAAACTTAAAAGCCATTATACTATTCTTTTTACCTGGTACATTTTTTAACCATATACGCTAGGTATTAATTATTGTTTTAGGCCCAGCACGGTGGAATCTGTGAAAACAGCACCCAATTATGGCTAATTTACATGGTACAGAGTGACGGTTACTAAATTTGGAACTGTAATGCGCTTTGGAATTTATCGGAAAAATAGATTCCGTTTTTTAGAATGGCTAATTCTTAATTGGAAAAGGAAAGGCGGTTTACATTTTGGAACCGAGAATAAGCTTGGTATTCATGGATTCCTTTAGTGCGTCTGCATCTATCTACTAGCCGATTGGCGAAGTGGACTATCTCTACCTTGATCTTTATGCATACATTGTTTTTATATCTTTTAATTATTAATAAACACATTTTTTATTGCTCTACAAGCATATATTTTAACATATTTAAGCCCCCAGTGGTCAGTTTTAACCGAATGTTAAACATTTTTATAAACAAAAAAAATCAAAACTTTATTAAAATTGTCTTACATCGTAATTCCTTCCACCTGTTAGAACGTCTATAATTCATGCTTGTGTAAATAAATAAA